GGTGAAGCTTTGTTTCTTTGTCTTCAACAACAACAGTGCTTTGGGTACAGCAAATGCTGAAAGCACACCCAGCAAAGTGAGAGGAAATGCAGTCTCTTGGGTTATTGTCCCCTTGCATCCTGTAGGTGCAACTGGAGAAGCTGCTGCGCTGGAACATTGCTGTGCGGAATTTCCACATCCTCATTAACTTGGTCAAGGTCAGGTTCTGGTTGTTTTTCTGTCTCTGCCTCCATATTCTCAGTAAGGCCTGGTGATTCCAAGCTGAGGAGCACTGGGGAAAAACATGAAGTGTGACTGACTAGTGGAACAACCTGGAGGTGATAATTAAAGCCAGTTATAATCTGTGTCCAGCCTCACTGGATGAAATAACCCCTTCTGTCAGTTATGGAGCTGCTTCGTTTAGTGTCTCTTGAGTATGATGCTGTTTGGGCCAGAAGGTGATAGGTACAGCTCCACTTTTCTCCTTGCTTAGGTTGACCATTATTGTTTATTTTTACATATCTGAAGTGATAATTGTCAAGCCCAGGTTTTTCTATACAGCAGCATTCACTGGAGTCCTACCTGTGATCCAGATGCCTTTGGAGAGCATAAAGGGTAGAGCTGGACTACTTAGTTCAGTTTTGTCTATAGTTCAGTTTAGTCCACAGCAGGACCAGGGTTACCTTCACACTATTTTGCCCATCTCAGTTTTGCTTTGTCTATTATGTAATTATTTGCCCATCAGCTGGGCTTGGGTCTCTTGAGTTCCAAACTATTAAGAACTTTAGACTTGTTGAGATAATTTTGTGCCATCTGCAAAAGAGGCACCTTAGATCACTGAACAGCAATCCTGCTAAGGGCTTCCACCTGAGCGTCACTACAGTTCATGAGCTTATGTGGTGTTCCTGCTGAAACATGAGAATGGATGATCACACATTCACAGGGGTGTACCATGAAGGGCTGTTTTTAATTGGGTGCGGTGCTTACATGGTTTTCTTTAGACTTGTGGACTGACCCGACTCATTTTTCCTCTTGTCCATGTAGGTATTTGACAGCAGGCCTGTACTCAACATCTGCCTGAAGGTAAGCAAAAGTTCAAGATAACTGAAGAGAGCAATTTAAGTACCAGCTTTCTTGAATGATTGCCTCTAGTGCAGTAGAGTGGGTGCTGCATTCTCTAGAAGAAGCAGATACTGTGTTCCTTACACCTTGTTATAAATATATATGTATAGTAATTCTAACATTTTGCATTTAGTTCAGTATTATTCCCAGATGCCTGGTGGATAAAACCAGGGATGTTTACAATGATGAGACCTTGTCCTTCCTTTGCAGTGATTCAAGTGGAACGCTTTACTAATCCTGTATATCCCAGTACAGCACATATGTACAGTATTCACATGAATATAATCTTCTTCTAAGAAAGAGCAGTCTCTGGGGTCGCTTGGAAGATTGTATCATTCTCTCATCTGACCTTGTGATGGTTGTTTGAGAAGGAGTTTAAATTTGCTTGCTGATATATTTCTCTCTTTTATAGTATGGCCGCCTCTTTGTAGAAGCATTTCTGAAGCTTGCCATGCCTCTCCTGGACCACAGCTTTAAAAAACACACGGTAATCCTGGGAACAGAACTGGCTGCAGCCAGTTGGGAATCATGACTGATACTTCCTGCACACATGCAGCCTACCTCTATCCCATAACCCTTTAAAAAGACTGCTAGGACTAAGGCTGTTTCAATATTCTTGTTTCCCTATGGAAAATCCTTTGAGAATGATTTACTAATCTGCTTATTTATTGCAGGATGATGTGCAGAGTTTGCTGAAAACCTTGCAGATGAGTACCAGACAACTTCATCACATGTGTGGCCATTCCAAGGTAAGATAAGTTCCAATTGCAGCACAACTCTTGTCCTAAGGATGGTATTATTTCCCTTCCACTGCTTTTCCAGGGCATTTGCAGGTTCTACTTGCATGCTTCCAGCAGTGTCTGTGCAAGCAAAAACTCTGAGAGAAGGTGAAATAGCCTTGTTTAATGGCCAAAAAGTTGAAGCATTTATTCTAGAAGTGGCTGACTTGGATGTTATGTCAGGTTGGCATAATATTTTTTAACACAGAGGTTTTGGACATGTTTAGTTGTTGGGCATCTGTAAGGGGCTGTTTCTGAGAACACAAGCTGAGATCTTGGAGACCTTGAACAAAGTACAAATGCCAGATTTATAATATAGGAGAAAAGCTTTGCCAAAGATGAACAGCCTTGTGAGTCAGAAGAATTGGCAACAGCAGGTGGATGGGGAAAAACCCTGCTCAAAGTCCTATTGAGATGGCTTTTATGTTATGTTGGTAAGGGCAAAGGGAGAAGGAGGATGGTGGTTACAGACTCTATGGGAGACTTGGGGCAGGAAGGAAAGAGAGGATTAGAACTTTGCTTACAGTGTGGAAAGACAGTGCTTTTTGCCAGTGCTGTACTTTGTTGAGTCTCCAGACTGCCCAGGGAACACTGTGAGTTTTGATTGTTGTCATTAGCAAGGGCTCTGCTGATTAGGTTCTGATTAGTGCTGATGATTGCTAGCTCCTGTTTATTACATAGGCTAGAGAACAGCTTGCTGTTGATAATCAGTTACCCATTCCCTGCTGGCAGAACTTGAAGGAAAGCAGCGTCCCTCTGCCCAGGCATGTTGAACTCTTCCAAGAAATGCAGGTGACCTGAATTCAGAGTACAGCTAATGAGAGCATCTTAATCCCAGAAGATTACAAAGTATTCTCATGAAAGAGGAAAATACTTACAAACAAAATAATTGTGCAGGTTTTGTCAGGTTGACAGGATTTCTGGTTTAGCAATGACTTAGCAATGCAGATTGAAGCCTAGCAGGAGATGCTCACCCAGAGCTAAATCTCTTAGGATACCTGGCATAGCTGCCCTTCTTCTGGTGGTTTTTGCTTACAGAAACTCCATCTGTTCCTCCTGTCCTAGTTCTCCAAAACCCAGTGCTTCTTTGCTCCAGAGAAGCTGGCTTTGGAGATTATAGTGCACACACATTCCACGTAAAGGAATTGCTTGAGGCACTGAGCAAGAAAAGGTGATGGAAGTGGGTGTATTTCTTGTTTTTTCTTTTCCAAGCTTGGGAATTCAGCAGAGGAGTTACTAGCTTCTCTCTAGAGTTCAAGACAAAACCAGGCTTCTTTTATTTTAATCCAGGTGAACATGTATATTTGGATTGTTGTAAGGGATCAGTTTAGACAAAATACTGATCTGAGCTTTATTTTTTAACAATAATTTGGCCAAGAAGTGATGTCATCTGGGCAAGCTTTGTGGGGGTCATGCCCATCCCACCAGATAGCCAAAGGCTTTTAAACAGCCAGAACACTTAGGCAAGAATCAATCCTCATCACATTTTACTGTTGCATAGATTCACCAAGACATTGGACTGACCAACCATGTGCCTTTGTTGAAGAAGTCCCTGGAACAATTTGTGTACAGAGTGAAGGCAATGCTGGCATTCAACCACTGCCAGGAGGCCTTCTGGGTCGGCATCCTCAAAAATCGGGATCTTCAGGTGAGAATCACTGCCCTGCCTGGGGCAATTAAAATCTGGGAGTGGACAGTGCTGACCTTGTCCAGACAACTCTAACTCTCTTCTTCTGTGTGGGTAAAGCTAAAAGGCCAAATTCAGCATGACCATAGTACAGTCATGTCTAGTGAAGAGAAAGAAGCATTTTATTTCAAGATTAAGAGTCTGCATCTCTAGGCTCTTGCACTAAGGGTCAGATTTGGTCATAATTAAGAGGTACAGGGATTTTTTGGCAGTTCTGTGGCAAGAACTATACATGCACAAGAGGGCAGAGATAAAGGTCACTTGAACACCTTCACACACTTTCATGTGTGGCTTTAAAAGAAGCCATTTCTGGCTCTTCACCTCACTGTAGAAGCAGGACAGTTAAACAAAACCTGACTTTATTTAACTCTAAAACTTTTTATTTAAGAAGACAACAAAATGCCCTTTTCTTCCATCCCACCCTGGCACGCTTTGGCCGCTTCACATACACTCAGTACAGATCTTGTGTTCAACTTAGGGAGAAGAAATTTTGACTCAGGCCTCTGAGGAGAGAGGCTCGGATGAGGACTCGGAGAACTCGGCGGAGGGCCCCGCGGAGGAGGTACTCAAGGGGCTGCGCCTCTCGCAGGCGGGGGCGGGCGGGGTGCAGCGGCGGGGCTGACGGCGGCGCGTCCCGCAGGAGCCGAGCGGCAGCGACACGGAGGACAGCGAGGAGCGCGGCGGGGCCGGGCCCGCGGCAGCGCGGCCCTGAGGCGGCGGGCACCGGGCGGGGCGCGGCTCCCGCGCAGGCGCGGCGGCGGCGGCGGCCATGTCGGTGCAGGAGGACCCGGTGCAGCGGGAGATCCACCAGGACTGGGCCAACCGCGAGTACATCGAAGTGATCACCAGCTCCATCAAGAAAATCGCGGACTTCCTCAACTCTTTCGGTGAGGGCGCGGGGCGGGGGCTGCGGGCGGGCCGGGCCGGGCAGGGCTGTGCGGCGGCCCGCGGTGTCTCACTGCCGCCTCCCCGCAGACATGTCGTGCCGGTCCCGGCTGGCCACCCTCAACGAGAAGCTGACGGCGCTGGAGCGGAGAATCGAGTACATCGAAGCCCGGGTGAGCAGCGGGGCGGTGGGCCGGGTGCGGGCTGGGCCCGGGGCCGGCCCTGCTTGAGGCTTTTCCTTTTCCCGTAGGTCACCAAGGGAGAGACGCTGACATAGGTCCGGGGCGGCCCCGGCCCCGCCGCCGCAGCACCGCCGCCCCTCACCCCGCTCGGGGCCCACCGCCACCGCCGCCGCCTCTGCTCGTGTTGCCAATAAACCGCTGTGCTCCTGCCCTGCCTGCTCTCTGCGTGCCTGCCTGGGGCCGGGCCGCGGGTTGCCCGGCTCCCTGCCACCGTCCTGGATGTCCAGAGCCTGCCCTTCCATCCGCCTGACCCGCGGGGTTTGGGCACACGTTCCTCCCCACGCGTGGGGGCTGTACCACAGGGGCTGCAGGCCAGGCTGTTGTCAGCTCTTGGAGGCACCTTACCAGCCTTTGGGGGTGCTTTGTGCTCCTGCTGGGATCACAGCAGAAAATCTGGTGATTCCTATGGTCTGGAGGGTGTCTCAGCCTTTATATGTGCACATGTCAGGGCAGTGTGGGGACAGCAGGCTCACCTGGTCTGGTGTACGTGCCACAGGAGAGGGCCCTTTGCCAGCACCTAGGAAGAGGTGTTTCTCTTGTCTGTGAGGCAAGTGGCAAGGAGAAGAAAGTCTCTCAGCCCTTCCCACCACTCCTCTATTTATCTCAGTTTTTCAGCGGGCATCCAGATCTGCAGATTCACTGCTCATATTTAACGTTTGTTGGGGAGTCCATGGAATTGTGTCAGCAAAGGTTTTATTGCTTCCCAGCAGGCTTTAAATGTCTTGGCATGTTCTCTGACTGTAATCTTAGCTTCTTCATGATGGCACTGTAATGCCTGCAGTGTCTACTGAGCACCTGAGTTACTTAATGTTTGTTATATTTTTGAGGCTGTCTGACATCAGCTGGTTCTTTGTTGACGTAGGTCCTCCTCCAAGCACACAGTTTTGTTCTCCATAGGAATCTCTGTTTTCCATTATTTGGAGAAGTGCTCCTTCAGCTTTTCCCTCAGTTCTTACGGTTACTGTCAGGTTGGGCTGCACATCAGGGAGATTTGGCTGCCTTTGGAGGTTCTTGCCTAAATTATGCTAAGATTCTTCAATCCAAAGACTAAATGGGACACAGGGTACCACAGACATCCCTGGCACTGTGTCTGTACTGGGCTGACCACTTAACTCAAGATCCATTGCTTGTTTCTGTTCCCAGCTAGTAGCATGGTGTGTCTCAAGCCCTTCCTGGTCACCTGACTGGTTGTTGTAATGGCTCTTCCTCTCATACCAGGATTTCTCAGAGGAGTAGGTTTTGGCATGCAGTTGGTGGAATCTGCTGGAAGGTACCACTCCTCCCAGGATATGTGCTCTCACAGAGCTTCAGCACTGTGGGATCAGCCAGTCTGGTTCATCTCCCAGCAAGGATCTTGGGCGGCTCAATGTACTACAGAGTTCTGCCCTTTTCCTTTCAGGGAGTCTTGCTAGTTCCCTAAGGAGCTAGGTTTTGTGGTTGGGCGCTGCTTATTCCAGGCTATCTCTGGGAGGTGAAGCCTCCTGGTCCTCAGGCTGGTACTGCTTCCTCCAGCAGCTGCTGTGATGTGCAGCCTTGTAACAGATGGAGCTTTGATACATTTCATTATTTTAAATACTGGGGAATTCTGTTTGCCTTCTTTCTTTGTACTGTATTTTGGTTTGGCTTTTTTTGTTTGTTTTGGGGTTTTTTGTTGGTTTTTTTTTTTTTTTTTTTTTCTAGACTATGATGCCCCAGGAACCCACATTAAACTTTTCTGGAGTGGATTTGTGTATTCTAATTTAGATGACTGATTTACATGGCATGTTAGTGGTGCTGTTCTTCCCACCACACATTTACTGTAACAGGAGATGGCTGTGTCCTCTGTGTCCTGATACCGTGCTGTCCTCATCTCCTGAGAGGGCTGGGTGCTCTACTTGTGGTCAGCAGAGACCTGTTGGTGGTCTGAGGTTTTTTCCCAGAGTCTGAACTGCAGAAAAGCTGGTTTGAAGCCCCTCATGAAGGTGCCAGAATTGACCTAGAGAACCTGAGCCAGTCTGTAGCTTGAGAAAGGTTTGCACTCTTGGATGACAGACAGGGGGCTTGTAGTGCTCACTGCCTGCTGGGCAGGCAGCCAGGCCTCATGGAGTGATTGGGGCAGTCCAGCAGTCCTCATTAGAGGCTCCAAGGTTTGGGAATGAACTGTAGTGTTTTGATCTGGGTGTAAGACTAGGTGTATTGGCATCACCCTTTGTGTGGTGTCAGCAGAACAGGGATCTAGAACTAAATTCAAGCTTTGCATAGCCCAAAAAAGTTTTAGTCTCTGATCCAGAGTACATCTTTTAGGATTAATGGATTGGACCAGACTTCTCAAGTAGTTCTAGCTTTTAGTAAATGCCCTTTGGGTTCTCTCAGTGCCTACTGTGAGCAAACCCTTGATTTTAGGGAACAGTTTTAAAGTGAAATGTACCTTCATCCCCTTTATGTGGCAGGTGATTGAACCTGATAATTCAGTGAGCTGAGGCGATCTCAAGAGAGGAATGTTTTAGGACACAGCTAAGTTGTTGAGGGAGAGCTGCACTTTGATCCTAAGAGCAAGGCTGAATTTTAAAGATCCCAGAAGATGTCTGCTCACATCCTCGTGCCAAGGCCCTGACAGCAGTGGATGTCACTGGAGTAGGTGTCTCACAAAGAGAAGAATTTTAAAGATCCCAGAAGATGATGTCTGCTTACATCCTTGTGCCAAGGCACTGACAGCAGTGGATGTCACTGGAGTAGGTGTCTCACAAAGAGAAGATTGGCCCTGCCCGCCTGGGATTGCTGCTGCTCCCCAGGTCAGTGAGATGGGAAGGTCACAGGAGTATGGGAGGTCTCCAGATTCACTGAGGCTTTGTGTCCAATTTCCAAAAGCTGCCAGCAGTACTGCTCTGAGCTCTCCAGGTCCTGGGAGCTGGGCTCTTGGCCTTGACGTACATAAAAGTTTTAGGGTGGCTGTACCATGAGCTCACCTTTCCACTCACTTTCCCCATCTCTCTCTCCCTGTGCAATCTGACACAGCCAGTGTGTGTTTTCACTTTTTATCACAGGTGTGAAGCCAGTCATTGACAGAACCCTCTTTTTGGAGGATGAGAGGATTATTGGGTAGGTCCTGAAGCAAAAGGTTGAGAGTAACATCCTAGGGAAATAATGGGTAGATGAAACTCTGACTCCCATGCTGACTGGGAGCTCTGAGGTTCACCTTGGCTGAGTGATGCCCCAGCCAGTTTGGTCAGTGCTGCTGGCCCAGCCCCAGCCTGGCTCTCTGACTCTCCCTGTGTTGCCCCTGTGCCAACAGGTAACCCCACCAGGTAACCAACCCATCCTCACCTTTGGAGGCTGTTCTGCTTCCTGGCCTTGCCATCTCCTGGCAGGTACATCGCTGACAAAGCAGTGGGGGACAGGTCACAGCCTGCCTTGTTGACAGAGTTACAAAATGGATTCCAGGACCAAGCCCATCCCACAAAACACCAGGATTAAATATCAAAATCCTTGGTGTTGCCTATGTGCTTAAAAGTGCTGAGGAAAAGGGCTTTATCAAGAGGGAGGATCAGCTGAGGCTGGGAATTGTCCCTCAGGCTCCTGGTGCTTCCCAGGGAGCATCTGTGTTCCCCTGCCTTTGGCTCTGCTTGCATGAGGCACTTCCAGCCCTATTGCTAGACCAGAAGACTGGGGATGGAAAGGGAGCCCAGTGAACTGGGAGAACAAGGAGGAGGGGAGGAGCAGATTTTTTTGGAGGTTGCTCATGGAAGCATGCTCCAGTTAGGGCCGTGGGTGGGGAGAGTATCCTGGGACCCCACATTGATCCCTGTGCTTGCTGCAGCACTGCTGAGCCAGGCCAGGGGCTGGGAAGAGTTCACTGTTCCCTACTTCTGTCAGCCAGCAGCCTGCCCTTTTTCCATTTGTGTTTGGTGTTGGGCTGCACTGTCCATCCTACTGATGGGCCTGGGCTTCAGCAGCCGGACTAACTGGAAGACTGCCCTTGTAGCTAAATTGGAAGGACCAGCAGCCAGTGCCCCAGAAGCCAGACACCCTCCTCCCTCTCATCCCTCAGAGCCCATTTGTGAGCCTGTAATGTGCTGACCATAATAAAGGGGGACTCCCATAATGAGGGAATTTCCATCCTTACCTGTAGCCATTTAGAGGAGGATCCTGTGCTTGTCAGTTCTGAAATTACTCACTCTTCTGCCTCAGGAGCTGTTGATGGCGGCACCTGAGGAGCTCAGTAATTCTCCAGGAGGTGAGTGATGCATCCCGGCCTTTGATTTAGCCTGCTTAAACAGGCCTAGTTCTTAAATTTAACGGGCTTTAGCAAAAATTTACTCTGTTAATTTAAAATACTAATACAATGAATTATTATGGCAAGTAATTCCACAGAAGAGTACAGAATGAGAAAAAAAATTTCAGAACATCTTAGTAAGGTACAACATTATCTACTCTCATGATTCCACAAGCTTTCATAGCTAAACCTCAGGCTTTGTCCCAGACAAAAGTAAACATCTTTCACATGATTTCAGCATAACAGAGTGTTACTGGTTCAGTGGTAGTCTGGAAGGTTAGGAAGTGGGTTGTATTCACTACTTGCTTTTTTTCTTCTCTCTCAAAAGTCTCATAGTTTAAAAGCAGAAAGGTAGCTGTAAACTACCTGTAGCCTGCAAAGTACAGCTGGCAGTGAGGCATAATCCCCCTGCACTTACCTGAGCTTCACAGGCTCATAACAAGTGTTGGAGCAGAATTTATTTAAAAGGAAAATAAGTAGCAACTAAGTAAATGTACGGAAGGAGTTACTTAACCAACCAACTTAACCATTGGATGAAAATCAGGGTAGGGCAAGAGGAGTCATGGGAATGTTTAAATCTGTCAGAAATGTGATGACATTATGAGCAATAACTACTCCATGTTCCATCCCTGGGCCCCTCCTACACTCACTTAGCAGTATTTCTACATTTCTAATGCAACCTGCCTGTGTGACAAATCCACACACATGTTGCACCCAATTAGTGTCAAGCATAAGAGCTGCTGTAGCTGTGTCTCACCTCTCTAAAACCCTCCTGGAAGCAATTTTCCCAGCATACAAAGAATTAACCCCGATTCTCCTAAATCTCTCAGAGGACAGTTCCCAAATAAGGGCCAAGTAAACACATGTAATACATGATAAAGCATTCTAATTCATTAGATAATCTTCCCAGCAGCAGGTGCAGGGTATTAGCTGCTTTAAGTGTTCAATGTTATATGTAATTCAAAATGTCAGGGGAAGTGAGACAAGGCACTTGAATAGGCAGAAAAGAAGAATACGTGGCTTAAAAAACATAAACCTTCTTTCCCCCTCTAAAAAGATACAAAAAAACCCCACGGCACACAGCCAGACAAAGTGGAAAAGAAAAATAAATGTACACCTACTGTAGGAAGTATAACTTTACCTGTGTCCCAGTCACTCCAGAAGCACCAGGAGATGAAGTGAGGAGAGCAGAGGGAGGGAGTACAATCCTTCCTGGGGTACCAACTGCAGCAGGGTCAAACCATTAGCTGAATTTGACAAATGACTTACATGACCGCAGCTTGTGCAAGCAATAGCCACTTGTGCTATTGGAGTGTCCCAAGAAGTCTCCTTTGACACTGGCTGTCACTCTTCACATACATTTTCAGGTGACCAAACATCTGCCACCTTCTGCTGTGGTGCACTGCAGGAATTTGCCCCCTCCTTTCCTACTTTTGTTTCCTTGTGATGCAGGCTGGCTGGCTGGCTCAGAAAGTGTCACCTGGCAGTGAGGGAGCAGCTCCCTGAACAGCAAGCAGCCCTGGGGTGGCTCCAGATAGCTGCTGTGCTGTAAGATGTGTGTCAGAAGTGGCTGAGAAGGGCTGGAGGGGGGCACCAATGACCTTACAGTGGGTATAGGATGAGCAGAGCCAGAGGCTTTGTGTTGTCAGCACCCTCTGTGGCTGCTGGGGACAGGTGGGGTGGAGGTTATGTTTCCCTTTGCTGTCACTGGCCCAGCTGCACAGGCATTCCACCTGTGCCTTCCTGGGATGCCCTGAGCAGGTGGGGAGTGTGCCTGGGCTTCCACACCCTCATCATTGTGTCCCTTCCTAGCTTTACCAGAGCCCAGGGTGTCTTCCCCACAGGGTGGGTTCTTTGTCCCCAGTGCTCCCCTGATGTCCCGGGGAGGCCAGAGAAATGGGTCTGGGTCTCCAACCTGAGCAGGGGCTGTGCTGGAGCAGCTACGGGCAGGAGAGAGGGGTCCTGACTGCTCAGGGCTACTGAGAACCATTAATCCCTGAGGCAGGCTGGGAGCTGCACAGCTCCTCTCTCTGTGCCAGCGGGATTGGCCCTTGGCCACCTTCCCCGGGGCTCAGGGACATGGCAGCACACGCCTGGAGTGTGACCTCTGTAGCCACAGGAGGACGGAGCCACCGCTCACCCAGTGAGTCAGGGGAGGCCACGTGAGGCCCCAGCCCCGACGCCTTCCCACCCAGGCTGGCCCTGGGATCCCTGACCCAGGATCCTGAACTGCCACACAGCCGTGAAGGTGAGTGCTGGGGAGGGGTTCAGGAGCTTCTTGGGGTCAGGCCTGAGGGTGGCTGGGGGCTGTGTGCTGGCTCTTGGTACTGCTGGGTTATTGCTATTTGAAGCATCAAGCCACTGTACAGGAAAAGGGTTCTGGTGCTGTGGGAATTACAGGACTTCCCTATAACTTCTCTTTTTGACTCAGCTTGAGTATTTTTGACTCAACTTCCTCATCTTTCAAATAGTTTTTATTTTTCTAAAATCCTCACAGTAAGCCAAACACTTTATGCAAATAGAAAGATTTGTTTGCCTTAATTTTACTCAGACTACTGCATAAACATTTCTGGCTTCTGATGAGTTAATATTCTTCCTTCAGAGCTTTACAGCAACCACAGGGAGGCACGGGGCGTGAAAGGAGAAACACAAACCAAATAATTTCAAATGTTGCATGTCAGTGCTTAAGTCAGAGCTGGAAAATGCGCAGCAACCTCCCCAGGGCTTACAGCCACCGTGTCTGGGCCTGCTGTGAAAGCCAGGGCAGGAAAGAAGTGCTGGAGCTGCAGCAAGGAGTGGATGGGCTGTGCCTGCTCCTTGCTCACCCTGTGGGGCTGTCACAGGCAGCCTGGGGAGCTGCCCTAGCTGCGGTGACATGCACTTGCTGGGTCTCCCTGCGCACTTGTGTTCAAGGAGAGTGAAAAGTCTGAGTTTTGCTGCTTCTGTGTCACATTTCAGCTACATTTGACAACAGGAAGGCAAGCAGAAGGGTAGCAGAATTATTATCACAGCCCGAGGAGACTGGAGCAGGAAGGGTTTCAAACAGAACTGGTGTGGATCAATTTTTGTTGTCTCACAGGAAGAAACTCGGCTTTCGCCACAGACCTCCAGGACATCTTCCTGTGGATCCAACTGCTAGAACCAGCCTAAGACTTGCAGGTGTGCTTTAAGAAATTGGTTTGGTTTGAATTGAGAGAAGGGCATTGAGGGACTTCATGTTTAAAATAAATTTAGCAGGTTTAGGTGTCAGTATATAACTTAAAATGAAGGGTAAAAGTAGTTTCAAAGGTAAAAGGTTTGGGATTGTCCAATTTTTGGCTTGAAATTAAAACAACTTTATTTGCGTTTTTCTTGTTATCCCATTGAGCAATTTCCCTCAGATATATTTCATCAGCTAAGCAAAACCTCATGTACGGAAGTTGTCAGCCTCACTTTCTAAATGTGACTCTGTACACAAATTTATTCTAACGTGTTAAAAAGACCTCACTGCAATTAAATTCTGATTTACTATAAAGAAAGCAAGGTGAAGTCTGTTGTTCATGTCATTCCCCAGTGAGCTCATGGCTAGGCTGAAATGCCTGTATATCATCATCCTTCTCTCATTATGTGGTATAATCAACTAAGTCACTTTTAAAACATATAATAATTAGGCACCTATACTTATCCTTTGTTTAGATCTGATTTTCTTTCCAGAAGAGCCACAGGGGAATTAATGTGCATAGTCTAAGAGAAATTAGCTACCCAACTTCCTTGGTTAATGTAAATCTTGGTCACAGACTGGGCTGAGCTGTGCTGAAGGTACAGCAAGGGAGATGGAAGCAGATGCTGCGTGCTCCTGGATCCTCTTGTGGCATCCAGGTCTTACCACAGCAGGATGCAAAAGGCACTAGGCAGCTCTGTTTCTGTTGTTGGAACAGCTGAGCAGTCTGCTGGCTCATTTGGGCCAGGAAATGAGTAGTTTTGAAGTAAATCAGTCTGATAGCAGATGAAGATGATGTTGGCACTGTCTGCCCTGCTCTTCCTGTGTGGGTGGCATGACAGGTCAGGTAGTGCCCACTGCTCACTTTGTCTTTGGGATGATGCAAAGCTGGGATAGGGCAGCTGCTGTGACATGTTCCTGTCAAAGGAACAGCAACCTGCCTTAAAATGCCACTTTTGTTCCTTTAGCTCTGGTATTTTGACCATGTAGTCCAGAGACAGGCCTAAAGGATTTAGGTTAAACAAGCAGCTATTGCAAGGTCTAAGTTGAGCAAATAGGAAGGCAAGAAAGAGGCTGAAAAAGGCAGAAAACTGTAGCTGGAGATATGTAAGTGCCTATGAACTGACATTCTTGATTGAGTGGCTGAAAACGAGACTGTCCAGGGTGTGTGCTGGTTCCTACATTTCCACATCAGCTGATGCTTACCCACAGAGGGGACAGATACATTTCCTGCATTCCCTATCGGGTGCTCACAGGCTCCCAGCTCCCACAGGGCTGCTGCTGCAGCTACAGAAGCAAAGGCTGGATGTAAGTCAGGGAAAGGGGAAGGTCTGTAGATCTTTTGCATAGATTCACCACTGGGAATAATTTCAAAATTTGTTAAAATGTTGTTTTCCCACAATACCCTTTGGAGACAGGTAAGCCAAGTTTTCTGAGCTGAGCCTTTGAAAGTGGTTATATAATTTTCCCAGAAGTCTTTTGAAGTCTGTTTGTATCTAATTTCCTCTGTCTGAGAATTAACACCTTAAAAAGTTGTTCTGTTTGAGTGTTTGCTTGTGTATCCTTCTGAAGATATTAACTGACCTGTTTTGGGTTTTGTATTAGAATATTTTTTGGACTGATATGATGGTCTTTAGAGAACAGAAAGTGCTAGTAGGAAAAGAAACAAGTTTTCCTCTGAAAAATTTGAAGGATATTCTTAGTTTTCAAACTGCTTAATTGGAAGTGTTTTGTTGAATGGATCCAAAAGTCATCTTGTAGGAAAATGTGTGGACATGTAAACTGTTTTCCTGTTCCATCCTGCATAGTGGAAACTTTGCTTTAGGCTCCCCAAAAACCTTCTTTTGCATCTCTCAGTACAACTGTTGGTTAGTTGCAATGTTGCACGAGGGGAGATGCATCAGTGTAGAATACCCGGACCACTGGCAGAGGCAGCAGTTCAGAACCACAGCCACCACAAAATGTGCACCATCAGAAAATTCCAGCCTCAGCCTGAAACTTCTGTGGCAAGTTTATCAAAACAAAAGCAAATACTGAATTTTGGGGATGTCAGAACATTTATTTCTGTGGCAAAATTAATTAATCAATCCCAGTAATTAATCTGGGATCAACAGTTAAAAATTTCTAATTAATAAAGCTAAAGTTTATGGAAATTTCATGACAATTTGGGAAGAACAGGTGTTGAAGTATCAAAGTCTTCTGTGAGACAAGAATTCAAAGTCTTGCGGGACTTTCCTAGGAACTATTTCTGCTTTTTTTCCTGGCTGATACATTTTAAGTATTAGGATGTAAAAGGTACAGGATAATTGTTCTGTTTCATGAATGGAACCCAGCCTATTAGGTTACTCACATCTGTGGTAAATGTTTAATTAGATACTTTGGTAGCTTTACAAGACAACAATGTGAATGATCAAGTCTGACTACTTTTTGTTTTACTCATGATGATCAGACTTTTGTTCTTTCCTAACAACCAAAAGCCGGTAGGGCTCACTCAGAGGAGTGAAGAATTGGGTCCCAGGAGGGTAAATGAATCATGATGTGAAACAGAGAAGTGATTCCAAGACTGAAAGGCCCAGAGAGAGACACTGTGTGTGCAGAAAATCAAAGACAGAAAACCAGGAAGGTCAGTGACCTGATTCTAAATGTGCTTTTTCTCCCCTTTCAAACAGGCACAGCAATGGAGAATTTGGATGTCCCGATCCCAGATCTTACTGAAGAACAGCAAGGTGAGAGAAGCACACAAAGATCAGAGCTTTGGCTCTTGCACACTGCACAGCAGTGTTTTCCAGGGTGGGCCATGAGTCAATGAAATCTGTTTCCTCTGAAAACACGCCCTAACCATCTCTTTGCTTGTAAAAGAGAGACCAGCAGTCAGTTCCCAGCTCTTTCACAGGCTCCTGTTAGGCTTTGTGCACATGCAAGTGGGAATTTAGATACACGAAGGAGACTTTACTGTGCATTAAATGAGAAATCTCAGGACCTTGGTATCCAGTCCTAGGGGTCTTTGTGCCTGGCTGTGAAACAGCAAGGTCAGAATAAGCGCATGTTGAATAGCTAGGAATACTTTGGGAACACTTGCCATGCTTCTCTAACTGAGACAACAGCATCACAGAGACATCAGTCATTTGTATGGACTACTGACATTTGTTTACTGTTTTGTGGCAGACTGAGATGCTTTATACAATACAGCATCAGTCTCTTTCCTGTGTGTTGGTACTGGGCAGTGTGTTACAGCCTGGTGTCTGTCTCCACACCTGCACTGAGCACTACAGGAACACTGCCATGAAACCCCCCTTTACTCCTGCACAATGACAGGTTTGTTTTCCTTACAGATATTCTTCAGAGAGTTTTTGCTGCTGACGCCAAGTACTTGGAGAATCATGAGGAAATGAACCAGTCCTTCTGGGAATCACTTGTGAAACGCTTGGCCACTACTGACCCACCTATCCTGAATACTGAAGAAAAGAACAATGTAAGTTACCAAAGAAACTTATCCTTGTTATTCTACTTTTCTGCTTTACTCTGGGGAGAGAGAACACAGCTGATATACTGAAATATATTAAAAGGTGTAACTGGACACTTAGATAAATGACGTTCAGGCCACTGCTTTTTACTTCACTGCTCTCCATGTGCAAAAATAATTGGCTCTCTATAAATTCCTCAGGATCACTTCAGCTCACTATATTCTAGGCAGGACCATTGCTAGTCTCATTTTGCTGTAAGATACTGCAGCAATTGCATGGCCATATTCATTCCCTATAGCTGTATTTCTCCAGCTCTATGAATAGTTAACTATTGCCCACCATGCTGTTTTTCCCAGTTGATGGCTCTGCTCTGAGTTGCTGAATGGAGTTTACATTCTCTTCCCATCTTTGACATTACTCTTTGTCCCCAGTTTTCCCTTTGTATAGTAGAAGCAGGAGGTTACATTTCCCACCAGGTGGGATACACTCATTTGCCCATCAAGGTGTGCTTGTACAGTCTGTGTTTTATTGGAAAGACTCTTTGCTAGTTACTTATCTCCTTTTCAGCTCCTTAACAGCTGTGTTGTCCTCCCTGGAGGCTGTGCTGCCTGCCTGAAAGCCATAGAGAAGAAAGGAGTCAGGGCAATAGCTCTTCTTTACCTTTTGCTGAAGACTTCCAACCCATCTGGGTACAGGCAGCTGCCCAGCTCCAAGGGAAAGGGTGAGTCCTACCTGTCCTCCTGTCAGCTGTTTTGTTAAAATTACTGCAGGGCCAGTGGCAGCAGTAATTGACAGCAGCTTGAACACTCTGTTATGTGCTTGGAAGTGATTATTATTGAACAACTGAAGTGTCTAGAAGTACTGCTCAGGAAAAGCAGTTAGGTGTGGTGGTAATGGCAGCCAAAGTTAGTATTTAACTGTAGTTAGACTTGGCTTCTTCTGGGAAAAACCCACCTGTGTTTAAAGAGAGAGCATGACTTGGGAGTTTCTTTACTTGAGAAAGTTTTCCCTGACTTTATCCAGCGAGCCAGGGTCCCTCTGAGCACTCACAGTGGTAGGAAATCAGAGCTGAGCCAGTGAAAATATTTGTATAAATATAATTTCCAACTAAAAGGAATGGACAGGGGATGGCACACAGGGTGCTGAACCTGGCAAAAAGATAAAAGAGACTTATTTGCCTGGTTGTGCAGTAAGAAACCAGCGGCAGTTTCACAGGATCCGTAGTCATTAATTGTCTTTAATAGATGACAGAGGAGCACTCACTTAAGATGACCCTAAATTTAACGGGAGACCCTCAAGGACATCCTTGATTGAACATGTTTTTGAAGGGGAGAGATGTCCCAGCCTGGTGCCCAGCCCAGCTTTGGTCATCTCTCAGGGCAGGAATGTTGGTTGCAAGACCCTTGGGCTGTGAGCACCTAAAGGAGCTGGAGGAGAAGGAATCCCTCTACCTGCCTGTGCCCAAACCCTGCACCTCCTGATGAAGAGATGCTGTTCAGTGTCGCCCTGGTGCCAGGAGCCAGGAGCAGTTGTGATGCTGGGGTGGCCTGGCTGTGAGGGCCGTGCTCCTGTGCCACGAGAGGGAGCTGGAGCCGTGGCTCGGCACAGGGAGCCCTGGAAAAAGGAGCCCAGGCAGGGTGAGCCACTCCTCTCCTGCTCTCATCGTTCAGCTGCAGCTGCTGCTGCTTCAGGGAATGGGAATTTGCACAGGGGTAATATTATGAATAATTAAACGGCAGAATATGAAACTTTAGGTGTCTACCACAACCATTTAGGAAGGTCTAAACTGTAGTGTGTATGATGCTTTCATTTCATGCTATGTGTGCAAAAAACACAACTGAAATTAGACAAAGGGTCTGATTTCCTGTCAGGCAACTTTTAATAAAGCATTGTGAAATCTGTAATTGTAAAAAAAAAAAAAAATGTAGTCACTGATAATGTTTTTTTTCTCTCTTTATAAAAAAAGATGAAAAATTGAAACTCCTGAAGAGTTTGGAAAGGAATTTTGTCTATTCAGAAGAGGACAAAAAGTCTGAAAACTTATCCCAGGAGTCCATAGATGAAGATACACAAGGTAAAGAGGATTTATTTTATTTTCCTGATACATAACTTAGTCTGAATTCATGTTTGTAAAGACTGACATAGGAGATGTGGCAATTCTCTAGAGCTCTGAATAAAGTAAGAAACTGTGCAAAAGAGAGAACATAGAAAATCATCAGTACCTGATTCATAATCAGCAAAATAGTGGCTGCCACCCACTCTTGTGGAAGTTGGTTTCAGAATGTAGAAATCTGCTGCAAGATTCCTTCCCCAAATAAAAGATCCTAACTTCTCTCTACAGCCCTGTATACAAGTTAATCCAACTGAGGTTTTGCTGAGTTTCACCTATTCAGCCTGTTTTGAAGGGAGCTGTGAGGCAGAAACAGCCAATAGTGATACTTGCATTTCAAAGCCTTGATTTTTACCTTCATATGGTTATGTTGTGAGCAAACCACAACAGAGCTGTTCTTTCTGATGCTGCTAGCACATTTTTCTTCACTCTGATGAGCAAATACTTTCTCCTATCCAGACAGTGATGAGGAAGATTTAGGAAGACAGAAGACTGAAGGTCAGTTACTTGGAGGTAGGACAAAGTGACTACAGTATTTGCTTTACTAGAGGCAAAACCAATATAAACCAAAAAAGAATTATTTTTTGCATTCTTTGGGTTGGCTGTTGAACAAAGGTATATTAATATGTGTAGATATAAAAGAAAGACAAGTCAGGATTTGGCTGTAGGGAAGACATTGCCTACAAGATGAAGCTCAACTAATGCTGAAACTCAGCCATGCCCTGTGCTCAGAGTTTAACCAGGAAAGCAGCAAAATCTGCTGTTGTGAGAGGAGTCCTGCTGCCTGGGTCTGCACAGCTGCCACTGAAATGCAGCAAGAGGGCTCTGAAAACATCTGTCACAGCCAATACTTAGAGGGGCTGCGGTCAGCCCACAGCACTGACTGGAGATCATCAGCAAGGACCACCTTGTTCCTGAGGCTTTTCCTTTCCTGCCAAAGGAAACATGGAAAATAATTACAATGCAGATGAAGAAAATGTGCTGTATCAATACACAGAAATACCTATAGAACTATGGATGTAAAAATGTAAAGCATTAATATTTTAATTAATGTCTTAAACTGAGCTCAGCCCAAATGTAAGAGAAGCTCATTTAAAATTGACATTAGGAGAGCTAATCTGTATCACAGGAGTCTGATAGTCTGATTCTACTTGACTCCAGATACTTATAGAGATTAAATATGGGGAGGGCGGAGAATTCAGTCATTTCCCACTTTTTGACTGCTTAACCCCCAGCAGAGCCACCCTCTTTAAGAAGTGAGTTGGTCTCTTCTTTGTTTCTGTTACACACCCACAGTGTTTTCAGGGAGCTGATGGGCTGGCACTGGCACCAGACACCCCCACTGCAGGTACTAACCTACCTCATCTCTGTGTCATGGTTTAGGAATACCAGCCGAGGTGGTTCCCTACAGAGATTCAGGTAAGTGCTCCTGGGTCACCTCATCCTGCTGGAATGACTGTAACTGCAGTGTCTTCTTTCTGACCAGCTGAAACATTAAAAAATAACTCTCAGGCTGTAAATCCCTTGGTTTCCAGTTAGCCTGGTGTTGGGCCTGGGGATGGTGCAGACATTCTGGTGTAAGGCTGTGGTAGTGACTGTCTGACAGGAGGTGATTTGTACAAGGTGTTCTGACGGATTAACCCATTTTTGTAGGCCTGCCAGGTTCTCCCAAGATCAGCTCATAGCAGTCATTCTTTAGGGGAAAACCCAGCAGTTCTGTTGGGCAACTGTTCAGTTTTGGCCAAAAAAGCTCGAGGCAGTTTTTAGCATTCCCTGAAGCCCTCTGTCTCCTGCTGAACAGGGGTCCAAGGCTGGGAGGGACCTGGAACCTGGTTTCTGCAAGCAGTGATGCTTGGCTCTGAATTCATTCTTGCCTGCACAGCATTCCCAGCAGGAGGTGCCAGGTGAAAGCCACGTGTCAGGCAGCAGAGCAACAGTGCCAGGCAAGAGGCTTGCACAGACAGGCAGTATGAAGGCAGGCTTCCTCCCGCCAGGCACTGCTGTACAGCCCCAGAATGTTTGTAAAAAGCCCACAGCAGGAAATTGCCAACAGCTAAATTGCATTACTGAGCTCATCCCTCCTGTGCCCAGGCCAAGGCCGCAGGATGAGTTAGGAGAGACAAACAGCCCAGCTGAGCAGCCTTTAGAGAGGACATCTGCTCCACCTCTGTGCTGTGCAGTGGAGAAGTTATAAATTGCAGCATAATCCCTTGGGGAGGTTTTTGAGTTACCTATCCCCAAGGAGCCACAGGAATACCAGGGCAGAGGGATTCATTGCGTGCCATATTCTTCCCACGCTGTCAGGTGCAGACAGGGTCATGGTACTTTTCCCCTTGGTGTTTGGCCTCTCTACCACTCACCCCAGTTTTCTTGCAGATAGGTGATTATTCACTGTGCTTCTTGGTGCTGAGTATGGTGGGAAGCTCTATACTTGTATTTTTTCCATGAGAAACAAAACTATATTTCTTTTCAGAGATTGCCAGAAGAGAAGATTCAGATGCAGATAGTGAGTACAAACATGCAAACAAGTTTGTTTTGTGGATGTTCTTTCACGACTGAGTTTTGCTTAGTGTGGTGAGGGCAATACCAGCTCCTTGATGCCTAGAGATTGTTTAATCAAAAAGCAGAAGGTTGAAAACAGGTAATAACATGGACTGCTTTAACAAAAGAAATACTGTGCAAGTCATTCCTTGATGCCAAGTTACAGTGGGACTGTTGAATTTAGGAAGTAATACAGGACAGATACTTACCAAGTGTGAATTGATGTTCTGCTAAATGCTTTATCTATAGATCATTCATACAATTGCACAGAGTTGTATCTGTGAGTCAGAATAATGTAATACTATGTTATTAATAATAAAAATAATTGAGCTTGCCCCCAAACCAGAATGTGATCAATCCAGACTGCACAAAGAGGCAAAAATGTATCAAGTACCTGTATCAGGTGACCCAGAGCAGAGTTTCTTTTCAAGGTTTAGTTACTCTGTGGTTCAAAAGCACCACAGCAAAAGTCAACAGCTCATATAAAGGACCCTTCCAGTACTCGCCTGTTACATCTTTAGAGCAAATTCACTACCAGGCAGAGGTTACCCAGTGTAGGGAAAATCAGAATCTGGAACTTGTTCTGAATCAACTCCCAAAGGCTTGGGTGCAGCAGGTGCCTCAGGGGCTGCTCAAACCACCAACAAAGAGAAAAGGGAAAAACTGCTGCTTTGAACCTGATGTTGGAGAGGTGGTAAAATACTCAGCTCTTTCTCGCAATAGAGGTGGAGAAAAAAGAGAATTTGGCAACTCTGCTCATGACAAAGACCAAACTGCTCTGTGTTTAAACCTCTAAAATACATTTGTTCTTATGTTATTTTTTCTTTATGCCAATGTAGCTGTAGGAGACTCATTTCAGCAGCCGGTCTCATTTTGGGAGGTGCAGAAGTACTTGGTGTCAGGTGTTAGTAGAAGGATGGTTCTCACACCCTCAGTAATGAAGGGGAGCTTCTTACTGTTGCTGTGGCTGTGCAAAGCACCCAAGAATCAAACTGAAGCTCCCTTGTACTATGGCTTTACTCCCCCACTGTCTTTCTTGAGACTATGGCTTGTCCCAGATGAGGCAGAAAAGATTCAGAGTGTTTTAAAACAATTCAGTATTGTTAATGCAGACATTTGGTTATACTTTTTAAAGTTCATTTTTAAAACCATGCTCTTTGGAGTAATTTAAAAATTGCTAATTTAATCTTTCTGAAAGGTTTGCAGACCAACAAACGGTTTTATGTATATTCTGCTCTGACAGTCTATTTTTTATACAAAAACTCCTTAATTTCACAGTTCCATGGTAATAAAAAACTTCTCTTTTTTGTAGTATATGAGGAGAGCACTCACCCCCCTCAGTGTACAGTACGGTGGATGGGCATACGGAAGGATGGTAATTGATTTATTAAATCAAACTGATGTCAAACCTGTTGAACCTTAGTCCAAGAAAAAGATCTCTGGTTCAAAAAAAAACTTTATTTTTTTGAATGAGTGCTTTGTTGAAGCCCATCAAGGCTTCGTGATGAAAATCATTGAGGCTTCTCACAATGTTGAGCCTTGTGCCTGAGAAACCTCAGGGAAATTGATTTCACTCTATGAGTGATACTTTGTACCTAAAGGTGATTTTGGAAGGGCCATGGCTGCAGTTGTGACCTAATCTTCCCTCTCAATTTCAGATGAATTCTTTCATTTTGTCATTCTTTGCTTTGCCATTGGAGCTTTACTAATTTGCTACTACTATTACAAAGGTAAGGCAAGATTCAATAGAAGGATATATTGTTGCACTGTAGAGAAATGAACGAAGCTAACATTTATTTTGTTGCCTTAGATTGGACTATTTCTCTTGGGATTGGTTTAATCACCTTTGCTTCCCTGGAAACCACTGGCATATACTTTGGTCTAGGTAAGTGTCCCTCCAGCAGCAGCTGTGTCCCTGCACTAAGGACAAGGTGACACAGTTGCCACAGCCCATAAAACTTCTGGGGCTGAGATTCTGTAACTCACCACAAAACTCCCCCCAACATCTCCCAGTTGCAGAGGGGCTGCAGAGGAGCAGCCTTAATGCTACTGAAGGGAGAAGTTGACTCATTTTTCCCTCTCAGTGATCACAAGACCCTGAGTCACCTCTTTCTGCAGCAGTGGCCGAATGCTGCGTTGCCATGACAATGTGTAATTTTAGCAGCAAGGCCTGTCTTCCCAGATCCACTGGATAAGATGCTGTGCATCCCAGCTGCCATGCGTTCCCCTGGGACTGAGGATGAGCCTGGGGCAGAACTTGGATTCAGCAGCTACTGGAAATATTAAAACCTGTGCATTTTGACAGTCCCTAAGGATGGTACAGGAGTGCTGTCACCAGCAGCAAGTTATGGCTCCCCAACCAAGAACTTGTCTCCTCTGTAATCTCATGTTAACATGGTGGGAGGTTATGGATGGTTCTCTCAAGACTCAGCCTGATCTTTCTTATTAATGATATTGCAGATGTGCTTGTTTAAGCAAGTGTCAGTGTTTGGGTTTTGCCATTTTTCTACTTTTTTATGTTTTATGTTGCTTATCTTATATGTTTGTTTTCACACCCAGTATACCGAATTCGGAGCGTCCTTGACAGCTTTGTTCCTCTGATTGACAGATTCAGGCTAAGAGGTAACTGTGCTCTTTTTTCTGCCTTAAAAAAAAAAAAAAAAAAAAAAAAAGGAGTATTTTACTACAGTTCATTACAACTGCTTGGGTTTGAAAATTAGTCTTGAGTCTTTCCCTGTGGCAGAACATTTTCACATTTTTAATACTCCACCCTGTATGGGGTACTATTTCCTGGCAGTGTCTGTTTAAGAATTCTATAGTTTAAATAAAAACTCAGGGGCTGGAGGGAGTCTTCACTTGTTGGGTCTTCAGACAGACTCCTGGTTCATGTCAATCCATGTTTGTGGACACAAAACATGAAGAATACTGAAAAGCTGCATGGATACAGTGCAATCTGAACACAGCAGTCCTGACAGCTGTCTTTCTTCATCCCACAGGCATGAGGAAAACTGCCTAGGAGGAGTATGTCAGGAGAGTTCCCCAAACCTGGCTGTCCAAGTTTCCAATACTAAAGGAACTGCTTTCTGAGGTGAACCTAACAACCAAATGGCCAATGTGAAATACTGAAATGTGAAACTTCTGAAAAACGTCACTCCTTTACCTCCAAAATAAACCTGAAACTGGGGTACGGGGCCCCATTGTGGATTCCAAAGTGGTCTGGGGCTCAGAAGAGCTTGGAAGACAATGGAGATGTAGCTTTGTATTCAATTCCATTGAAATATAAACACAGTCACCTTCCCTCCCACAGGCAGCCTTGCGGTGGTGCATCTCTCATTTAACAAACCACGCCAGTGTGCCTGTGGTGTACCAGAACCAACAGACCGATGTCCTGTGCTGGTGCTGGCTTAGCCTCTGGCTGTTTCTGTAGGATTCTGGCCTCCTCCTGCCCCCAGTGCTGCCCAGAACAGGCAGAGGCTGGCCCTGCTCTCCCAGCTGAGCCCCGGCGGTGCGAGCACTGGGGCTGATGAATTGATCCCGGCAGAACTCAGAGCAGTGGGCAGGCAGTGGTTTCACCCGAGGAGAGCTGGGGAGATGTTACAGGCACTGACAGAATGCTGCAGTAATGAGATTATTAACAAGAGCAGATTTCATCTTTTCCCAGGGGAAAAACAAAGTGCTTGATTTGACTCATCCCCCAACCTTTTTCTTTCTTTGAGTAAAATAAACACAAAACTTTGACATTTGTTTCATTTTATAGGATGTGTTACACATTGCAAGAATGTAGCACTACTGCAACCATAGGAAGACTGCAACAAAACTATATTTTTAATAAAAATGTGAGGTCTTCATACCCACACAATAATGAAGGCAACCAGTTGAACAGAAAAAGCCATAAACGTGGATTTTTAAGGAAAGGTAAATCTGAAAGCTATAAAGCCCAGCTCAGCATTTTACAGGAACAATTTCAAGCCTTTCTCAGAAAATTAGAAAGGTTAGTTTTTGTTGTGTGTAATTTGAAGCACCAGCATCAGTCACTCTTGCCTGCAGTTCCAGCTGCACTGCCAGAAACACCAACAGTTGCACTCAGGCCTGCACCAACACAGCACAGCTGCCACCCAATGCCTCAAGGGCTAAATAGTGCAAGAAGGATGAATACAAGTTATTTCATAGTATTTATATGCTCCTTTACATGTCTTTGCAGAAATATTCCACCATCCCAAAATACTGTATACTTTGTGTTAGTCTGGAAATAAAGTGTTGCTCAGACCACTGTAGCCATGCTAGTGGCAAATGGCTTTTGGGTGAAAAAACTATGCAGAGTCACCATGCTCTGATGAAAAGGGCTTCTTTAATATCCTCTGCTCTCTAATGTCTTTCTGAAAGGCAGTTTATGGAACAATCAAGACGAGTAACATGTTTCAATACTTAATGTTTTAAATTTGGTACTCTGCAGTAAACATAAATTTTTAATTTTAACAGAAACTACTTAAGGGTAAAATAAGCAAAACATTTTAAAACAGCAAAACATTTAAAAAGTCACCAAGTGCATCCCACCATGCCAGATGAACAGCTAAGCCACTTACAGCAGGTCCCATGAGAAAAGTCAGTTCTCAACAAAAAAGCAACTTACACATTGAGCTGCATCCTCTTGAGTACCTGGGAATTTCTTGTTCTTCTTCCAGATCTTTAGTCCTTCTCAGCATCACCCTTGCTGTAGCATCAGCCAAGCACTCAAAGCTACAAGTTCCTATGAAGAGTTTCAACTTCCTTCACTTGTGCTGTCTGCATTCAGCATTCAGCTCCTACCTGAGCCCAGGCCTCTGCTGGGCCCCACCTCCCTGTGGTTCCCCAGGACCTGGAGCATCTCATTCCACTCTGGCATCACCCAGCACATTGGGTATTTCCTCCTTGCCTTTGGTTTTGAATAGCTAGGGGCAATGCAGAGAGGTGGGACTGTCAACATGCAGGTATTGCCCCACAGCACCAAACCCCACAGAGAAAAAAAGAGATGACACCACAGAAGGTTTTTTAAGCTGGTATTTTTATTAGAACTCTCTACATAAAGCACCTTTGCCTGCCTTAACCTCTCTGAACGCAGCTCTTCCGTTACACAGCACGGGATGCTTTGATCTACTCGGCATTCCTGGATTTGGACACGGCTGCCCTCACTGCCTGCATGATGGCATCCTTGTCAATGCCAAACATCCTCAGCAGCTCAGCTGGCTTCCCACTGCGGGGCACGTGGGACACGGCCAGGCGAGTGACGGTGACACCGGGCTCGCCCACGACAGCGGCACACACGGCTTCGCCAATGCCACCTGTGGAGAGGGCAGACACGGCACTGATGGAGTGTCCCAGCAGGAGCATCCACACTGTCTGTGTAGGGCCTGCAACTTACAGCCTCCATTCCCAGCCTCAGCAAAACACCAATCACGCAGGCCTGGGTGACCAAATGAAAACCCTGTCCTGTGTCAAAGGCATCCTGAGGACAAGCAGGCTGCCATTTCTGAAGTACTCAGCCATAAGCAGCAGGACACACCTGCCTCTCAAGGGGCACAGGACTGTCAGCAAGCTCTCACCACTGTGACATCAGCCACCAGGAACCAGGTTTAAAAATGCACTTTGACCGAAGAGCATTTACAAGTGTACTTAACGTGCTGAAACTCCAACCAATCTCGGCAGCACTCAGAACTCCATCTTTTCACAGTGCCTGTACGTGCTGCTGGGCACCTCTGGGTTATGTAATGTATTCACAACCTTTGCTCAGACTCAGCTCTGACTCACTATCAGTCACAGGGACAAGGGATGCAACAGGAACTGCATGGAGGCAGGAGGGACACTGGAAGCAAAGTACTAGGGAAGAAAACAGGACTTGTGTCAAAAGCAAGTGCTGGTCGGAGAGACACCTTCTCTAATACTGCTACCCTTCAGAGAGTGTATCTAGGATCACAGGGCTGCCCACACCTCCAGGTGAGGTGGGATTTAACCAAACAGCCTGCAGCACAGATGCCTGCACCACAGAGTACTGTGCCAGCACAAAGCCCCTGTTCAACACCTCACAGCTAAGACTCTGCTGTCTTGCAAACCTGCAGTAAAATACTAGTCCAGAGCTGAACACTAAGTTAGGAAATGATGAGGTTCAGTGATCTATCACCATCCATAGTCTAGAACAAAAGGTGGTGTATCCAGCACTTATGGTTGAACCAAGTCACTTCAGGTACCTGGCAAAAGTGATGCTCACCTTAAATTAAGATAATATTCTCATAACTATATCTACTAATTCTGTTAGTAGATATCTATGGTGGTGGAGAAGAAAAAGGGAGAAATTTATCCCAGAGTAACTGTGGAAAAACTATGGAAGCTGCCCAAACCTGATTTCAAGTAACCTGGATCCTAGATTTTGGACACGTGGAATACTTAAACCTGCACAGCAATGGTCTCTCTTGCAATTTCACACCTGCAAAGAAGCTGCTGGACAGCCTTTCAGAGAACACTCTGAGCAGAACCCCTGCAGCACAGCAGGAATTTATAATTTCACTGGGCACAAATGAATCCAGACTTCACTTGGACCAAGCACACAAAGGGCACACAAAGCCAAGTTAATCAGAAAGGCAGCACTGATTACCCCTTAAAGCTTTGGAGCCTTTCAACCCTCAGTGTCACATTATAATCCTAACAGTACCAAAAAAACCCTGAAATCTCTCTTTTGCTTTCATAGGATGACAGCATCAGGTCTCATACTCCTCTGTCAGGTCAGAAGCTGTGAGCTTTCAGCCTCTGAGGGCTGTGACCTCCCAGACCCTTCTCACCTTCATGGTAATGGTCCTCAACAGTGATGATTCTGCCCTTGGTTGCTCTTGCGTTTTCAAGTATTGTCTTCTTATCCAGGGGCTTTATAGTGAAGGGATCAATCACACGGATGTAGATTTTTTCTGCATAAATAAATGAAAATTATTTGCAACAATGAGTTGCAACATGCAAGACAATGCCAGTGGTACAGGCAATGGCTGTGATCTCCTAGACCATTATGAGAACTGCCCACATGAACTCCCAGGTACCTGTACGTACGACTCATCTACCACAGAACCCAGCCAAGCCTTATTTTTATATATATTCTTTCTCCATGCACCTTGTGGAATAGTGATATCCATTTATTCACAGACATGATGGAGGAGACTCGGATGAGGGACACAAGGTTACCAGGAGCACCCATCAGCAAAACAGTCATCTAATTGGCTTTCCCCAGGTAAGAGAATCGAGTCACCAGAGAAATCCTCCTTTCTCAGGCTGCCACAGACCTTTATTGGCAAGCGAAGTACAATTTCCACCTGATTTTTGGTGTGTAGGCATTCTGAATTCTTTCTTCACTGCAGGCTGCCACCTCTCAGGTGTGCCTGTCTGAGCTGCCCAGCCCTACCAGTGCACCCTTAAGGCTGGTTGGCACCAAACCCAGATCCGCCCTGCCCTCGTAAGGCAGGCCCAGTGGCTCATTAAAATTGCACACAAATGGCAATTGTTTATAAAGAATAGCAATTATGTGAGGTTGTCTCTAATCCTGGCTGGCTGAACACTGGGCTGACTCCTGCACATGAAGAGGCCCTATTGTCAGTTTTGTGACTGAAGGCTCTTTAGTGGCCAATACATTTTGGCTATTAGGCCCTGCCTCTGCACTATGGGATTATCTCCAGAGGTGATTACTCAGACTTCAAGATCAGCAGAGCATTGTAAAGCACTCTAAGTGTAGAAAAATAACAATGGTTCTGAAAATACAACTTTCAAAATGTCCTAAACTCAAGGTCATGAAAAAGTATCAGTCCACTCAGATGCTGCACACAAAACTCCCCATAAGCTACAGGCAGCATTACTATATTATCTCCTGCTATTTGCAATCTCTTCTTGGGGGGAAGGCTCCTGACTCACAGATGGGTTTTTGATGGTTTCTTTCTCTTATTTCATTGAAAGATTACCATTGCTGTGAGATGGCAGTGACTTGAGCACTTCCATAGATTTGTGCCCCTTCTATGCTAGTTCAGAGTTGCTGCATTCAAAGAAACCCAGGTCAGCAGTGAGCCCAACCCAGGGCCAGGTGGCCGTGGGCACACACAGGTGACAAGCTGTGGTTTGGGACCTGGCTCCAGCCTGTTTGCAGCCGATTACTGTACCAGGCCAGGTGCCACTCCTGCTTCTCACACAGTGTCCCCAAGCCTCTGCCCACAGGGCACTACCACAGATCAGCAATTCTAAGGAGACCCTGATGTGATCTGTTGTCAATTTTCATGGCTACTAATGCTGTCAACCAACTAAACCCTCCTCCATTAGGCAGGACTGGCAGCTGCATGCTGTGTTGTACTGTATCAGCTAACAGGTGCCTGACTAGCTGTCTGAACAGTGTAATTAATGTTTACCAGTACAAAGGGTGAGCAGTTAGGCTGGCTGGTATTGATTTTTTTTCTGTGTTACATGACAAAAAGGATAAAAGACTCACCTTTTCTCAGCTGCTCCGCTGCAGCCAGTGCTTCATGCAGAGTGACTCCTGCTCCAATCACAGTCACTTGGTCATCCTTACTCTTCAAAATCACCTGCAAGAAAACATGTCCATGTGTTTTTAACACTTAATCTTACTGGGTTTTTTTTGCATTTCTAGAGATTTTAATGAAAAAATCAAATATTTGCAATAGTTTAGAGGGAAAAGGGCTTCTACAAAAGGAACACTGCATATTTTCTGTGATTCTATTTATCTGTGCAGTATTTACCTTTGCCTGTCCAATATGGAAGTCCTCATTGTTGTTGTAAATGACAGGGTTTTCAGGACGACTGGTTCTGATGAAACAAATGCCCTGTTTCCAAGGGAAACATGATAGAAGTTAGGAAAACAGAAAAGTGTTGACATTCTAGTTGATAAATTCTATAAAAAAAAATACAGCAAAATCACTTTTTTTATTTGTCTGATGTGCACCCTCCTATGTTTCCTCTGGTTCTTATAAGTAAACTCTGCCCCACCAATTCCCATTAGTCCTTTGTGGCAGCTGGTTGCTTCAAACAGTACAAAACACTTCACATCCTCTTAGTGCACACTGATAACTTACAGTTGCCTTTTTGATTCCAAGATACTTATTTCTCTTTTGTTCTCTTGTGGAAATGGAGAATCCTGCTTGAGTTAATTAGGCTCTTGGAAACTTACCATACATGTGCAACTTTTACTTTGTCAGTTTTACTCTGTCAGTTTTAAATTAGAGAAGAATGCTGGGTTGAAAGCAAGGAAAAAGGCTTTCCATCAGTTAAAGTTCAGATGCCCTTCTAGAAGAAGTAGCAAACTTGTACTTTAATCTCTTCTTCCCACTCCTTTCCCCATACTGATCAAAGAGATGATCAAAATCCACAATATAGAGATTTATCTTTCCATATCCAGCTTCAAGTTTGATCCCAGAGATAAGGTACTAGGAGAGAGCACTTTTAGGTTTGCTAAAGACCTAGACTTACTCTAATTCAATATAGATTGAAACTGCACTTGTGTACTCATTTACATCTCTCCAAATCTGGCCCACAGCATTCAAGACTGTTCATTCTGCACTAGCCTGGACAGAATGTCTGCAACCTTTCCTTGAAAAGAAAACATCCCACTGCCCCACTGGAGCCTTGGGAAGAATTTGCGTGGGTAGAGACATGCAAGAAACATGCCAGAAGCAACAAGAGTAGTACAAAAGAGAGAATTATTCTCTGGCTCAGAAATACTGTGATGCAAACCTTGGTGTTGGCAGCTATTTCCACAGCTTTTTCAGTGGCTACAGCATCGCTGGGGTAAAACACAGTGGAATTTGGAATAGCCCGGAACATGCACAGATCCTCCAGCCCCATCTGAGATGGCCCATCCTCACCTGAAAGAATTAAAGCAAGGTTACAAAAGAGCAAGTGCACATTTTTTTTACAATCACTCAATATAGAAGTGAGGTTCAATGTAAACCAGGCAAAAAAGGAGAAAAGGATAAAATCAGGCACACACACGACATGCAAGTCTACCTGCTTGAGAAAAGAATCATCTTCTCAAACTTGGAACCATCTAAACAGTAAATAAGGATAGAAAGAGACTAAAAAGAAAGAAAACTAGGATTAAAAAGAAAAAATAGGAAATAAAGTATAACAGTAAAACAACACAAAAGGAATACAACCAAATATGAAGGGTACAGATACAGAAAGAGGGTCACAAGATATCTGAACATCCTCAGATTTACATGTGCTGAGGCAAAATTTATACTTGTCAATAAGTGTTCCTTCAGATTTAAACTGCTAAAAACGTGAAAGGAGAATTGCATGTGTCCCATCACAAATGGAGAGTGCAATTGGTACAACTACTCTCAAATTCTTAGGCTGATTTCAAGATTAAATGAAGGGTATGTATGTATTTTTTAATACTGTAAAAAGGTCTTTTAAGGAGCAATAGGGCATCTATGTTGTTAATTTAACAACTCAAGCACTTCATGGCACAAACTGCAGATCTATGAAAAGGAATCGTTAGCCAGGACACGTGCTGGGTGCCATGGTTTTCCATGGTTAAAGAAACAACCACCACAACACCCCCCGCCCCAGTGACCTCATGTAACGGAGCTTTGGGAATGGCACTGCTCCAACCAGCCATGCACAGAGCTCTGAATGCACTCATGTCACAGCCTGCAGCAGCAGGGCTCAGAGCCTTCCCACATGCACCCGCTACCTGTTATTCAAGAAGGACAAGTTCACGAGGAAGGAGGAGAATATTTTCCTAAGAGCAGCACAAAATTCTGAAGAACTTTAAACACGTTAAAGAGATCAATCATTGAACTCTGCCACTGCACATTACCAAGCACAGATCAGGAAAAGGAACTGTCTCGGCTTTGAATCAAACCCTCTTGACATCAGTTTCTAAATGTGTGTACTCTGAATGAGAGGGATCCAGTGGGCATTTTCCTAAAATGCACTCACACAATGAAGACACAGAAGGAAAATGAAATTACGAAGAATAAGATTATCAGTGATAATTTTAATATCCTGAATCTGAATCTTATGCAAGGTAGAGAGTTACTCATGCTTGTCCTGCTTTTGCTATGGTGGTGCCAACACCACCAACATTCAAAGCTCCTCAATTAAATTCAAAGTCACTTACAGACTGGCACCAAGTTGAGTCTGGCCCCAAGTCTTTATGAAAATCTCAGTTTATATGGTTTTGGAACACCACAGATCAAATGAGAGTATAATTCTCAATTACATCTGCAAAACCTCCATTTGTAGCTTAATAAAAGAAGTAAGTGCTTATGTGAGCAGTAGCAAATGTCCAGGATATAAAACAGTCTAAACAATTGATATTTCTATTTCTGACACATGTACACTATAATTCCTTTTTCTATATGTTCAGTTTGAAAAATACAGATTTTTCCATTATTCTCTTATGACCTTAAAACTTATTCAATCCATAGCAACTTTCAGTCCATCAGCAACTATAGGTCTAGGAGTAAACTTGTACAAGTTCAGAAGGTCATTGTAATAGTTATTTCTCATAAATTTAATGGTTCAAATTTCAGTGCAGCAGAAGCCCAGGTCTGCCTAGAACTGCATATGTAGAACTTTAATTTTCACCACAGATCCAGATTGGATTCTGAATTGCATGCAAATTTGGATTTCCATGCAGGCCCAAAGTTCTAATAAGAAGTATGCTTCATTCATACCCTTTCATTTAAAGTTGAATTTTTTAACTGCTAAAGGATTTCTCTGAATAACTTTCTTTATAACTCTTCATATAAGTTGCAAAACTTATGTTAACATCATACAACTCTTGATATAACTCTATATAACTCTTTATGTAAGTTGCAAAACTTTAGGTTGAAATTCTTTTTTGAAAATCAAGTTGAGGCTTGAATGAGATTTGTACCTCAAACAACTTTATAAATCCAAGTCTGCACTTCACAGTCACAGATCCCAGCAGAACATTTCACATGCTGAAAATTGAAACTTGGAAGTGTAGTTCTAGGAGACAATTCGGGTAACCTGAAGGAGTTTTATATTCTTAAATCAGCAAAGGCCAAACTTAATTGGCTGTTGCATCAAAACCCTGCTTGCTAAAAGTCTGAAGGTGGAAGGACTGATTTTAGTAAGAGGCTTGTAACAGAAGCCCTCCCTTAATAATTTACACAATACATACAGTCTCTACTCCAGAGAACTATACTGCTACAAGTTTGAGGTCTGAGATGAGATTACATGTGTTTATGAAGCATCTTTAAATCTTTACCAATATTACAGATCAAATTAACTGTTTTGTTTTAAATGAAAATAAAACCAAACCAAATCTCTTCCAAACCTTACTGTCAGCCGAAAGTATTAAATCAGCTGAAAAACTGATGTACGCAGAGAACCTTAATTTACTACCCCTGTCAGCTCTCCCTCTCTTTCCCTTTCCCTAGAAATACCTACTAGTTTTTCAAGCATGAATGTCTACTTGCATTTTTCTTATTGGTATGCAAGTCTGTTCCTGTTTCATGGGTCATATCTATGCATTTCAGATAAAAAATAAAATTCTCTTCCTCCTTCAAACCAAAGCCAACCCATTATGATCTGACATGTTCTGAACAGTTACAGTGGGAAGACAAGACCAGAGAAGGCTCTGCTGGTGAGGGCCCTCAGAGAGTTGGGCTGAGATGTGCTGGCTCTGCTGCCTTGGTCTCCTCTGGTCTCCTTTTCCCACACCTCTCAGATGGATGGACTGCAGAACATGGCCTGGGTGAGCAAAGTTCATTCTGCTGTAAGATATCCTGGGTTTGGTTGGGATAGTTAGTTTTTTTTTCTTAGCTGGTACAATGGTGTGTTTTGAATTTAGGATGAGAATGCTGTTGATAACACATGAATGTTTTGGCTGTTGCCGTGTGGTGTTATCCTAAATCAAGGACTTTTCAGTGTCCTCATGCTCTGCCAGTGAGGAGATGGACAAAAAGCTGAAAGGGACCATGGCCCAGACAGCTGACCCAAGCTGGCCACAGGGACATTCCACACCACAGAATGCCATGCTCAGCATACAAACTGGGGAGGGTTGGCTGGGAGGGTCTGACCACAGCTCAGGGACAGGCTGGGCATTGGCCAGTGGGTGTTGAGAAATTGTATTGTGCTTGTTTTTCAGAGTTTAGTTTTATAATTACAACTTTTATTATTACTAGTAGTAATAGTAGTAGTAGTAGTAAACTTACAAGTTTTTTCTGATTCTCCTCCCAGTCCACTGCAGGGACAGGGAGTGTGTGAGTGGTTGGGTGGAACTTGGTGTCCAGCTGAGATTAAACCACAACAGATCAGGCTTGTGACCTCCTGAGGAACCTCAACATACAAGAGTCTATGGGAGCTGACCAGATGCATCCCAGAGTCCTGAGGGAATTGGCTGGTGTAGCTGCCAAGACACTGCCCATGAAAGTCATAGCAGAACCAGGTGGAGTCCCCAGTGACTGCAAAAAGGGAAACACTGCACCTGGTTTTAAAAAGGGGAAAAGAGAGAATCCTGGGAACTACCAACTACCACTCTGTGCCTGGAAAGACCCTGTAACAGATCCTCCTAGAAGCAGTACTAAGGCACATGGGGAGAGGGAGGTGATTCAAGACAGCCAAGGGTAAGTCCTGCCTGACTTTGAGCAACCTGGTCTAGTGGGAGATGTTGGAAGGAGATGACCTTTAAGATCCTTCCAACCAAAATTTTCTATTATTCAATTTTCTTAATTATGTAACAGCTTCACAGTTCATGTTTCATTAGTATGTAAGAGATTTTGGATGTTTTTAATCACCATATTAACAATTTCAGTAGTAAAAAATACTGGGATAAGTTGAAGTAGTTATTCCAAATGTAATCTCTAAAGTGTTTTTGAGATTGGTGGGCAAGAGCATCTGTACAAGAACAGAATCATTAGTTTCTCATTTAAGGGACTGGGAAACAACAGTACAATAAGCACATGACTATTTTCTCCACAGAAGACATCAAAGATGAAATGGAACCTAAACCCCTCAGTTTCAGTCCAATCCCTGTATATCAGTCTTTACTTGTACAGTAGGAAAGCTTGTAGGGAAAAGTCCTATTTTCATCAGGCCAAAGAGGAAAAACAAGCTGACAACAGCTTGAAATTTTTCTCATTCTTTCTAAATACAAGAGAAGTGGACTTGCAAATACGGCTTCCTCCTATCACTGCTGCACAGTCACACCACCCCAGCTACAGTACAGTTTGCCTCCACAGAGCAGGATCTTGGCTGCCAGACTCTTCTCACTGGGTGCATGGGCACTGCTGCTGGGGAGCCGTGGGTGCCCTTACCGATAGAGACGCCGCAGTGGGAGCCGCAGAGGTTGATGTTGCTGTCGGAGATGGCAGCCATGCGGATCTGGTCGAACGCCCGCGTGAAGAAGGTGGCAAAGGTGCTGGCAAAAGCAACGGTCCTGTCACGAGTGGCACAACCAACTGCAATGCTCACCTGAAAGAGGGACATTGGATAAGAACAGTGAATTCCTCATTTATCACTGGTTTCCAGGACATCATCTGTGGGACTTCTTGCCCTAAAAATTTAGCAAGAAGCTCTCAATGCAGATTAAAAATCTCTGTTTAGTCCTGCTTCTAATTGCTGGCATTTCCAGAGAGGAAAGGAAGCAACTCACCCTCCCAGTATCTATTCTCCTACATCTCCTCTGCTCCATGCTTCAACTGCTAGCTGTTATTGTTGACTCTTACTGGCAGCTTCTTTATCTGCTTAAAGCAGCCATTCAGAGATTTTAAAGACTTATCTCCCTCTTTCTTCTCCTGGATCAAAGGCTTAGGTTCTCAGTCCAATGGACATGGTCTTGCTATCTCCAGAAGACAAAAATCATCATTAGTAAGAGGGAATGGATTTACTTGTGTTATTTGGACTGGTATTTACTAAAAAGGGTCTTCTTTAGCAAAATGGAAATTAGAACAAGGTTCCTAAATTGGTTTTTGCTACAATTATCTCACATTTATTTGAAAAACAAGTATTAGACCCCCTAGACTGTAGGGGAACTCACACTGAATGGTCATACTGATCTTTCAATAAACCCAAGGGAGAAGTTACCATGTTCTGCTCAGCAATGTAGCACTCAATGTAGCGACTGGGATGTTCCTTCTTGAAGAGCTCTGAGAAGGTGGAGTTCTTTGTGTCGCCATCCAGAGCAATCACTCGATCGTTGGCGTGGCCCAGTTTTGCAAGTGCAACCCCGTAAGCCTTGCGGGTGGCCCACTGCAAAAGGAAACACACCAGGGCTGCTGTAACTTGCTGCTTTCTAGAGGCTTTTTTTTTTTGTTCCTGTTTTATTGTATCCAAATGATAGCAGTATCAAAAGTACATATGAGTACGGTGACACACAGAAGAGTAAACAAACTCACAGTGAAGCATTAGAAAATACATCTGTGCTAAAATTGGCAACTCTCCACCAATCTGGCTAGGAAATGTTTAAAACCTTGCTTTCTGATCATGGAAATTCACCGAAACTCAAAGAGTTTCTTCAATTTTAAAGGCACATTAAGTAGTTTAGAAATTTGATAATCATGAAATGAAGAAGAGTGATTTGAATCTCCATATTTTAATATGTTTATATACCCTTTTGATACCCAGCAAGTTGACTGTGTCACACAACAAAAATAGGTGTCTGCCTACTGAGAAGAGGTGAGTATTTGCACCTGGGGCAAGGGATAACACAAAACCTCCTGCCGTCCAGTTAAACAGTCTCACACTTTGAAATATCTGACCGTCAGTGAAAAAGAAGGGAATACCTTTTCTCCCACTTTGTAAGTTGGTGGAGATGGCATCTTAATGTTTCTAATATTTATTATAGGTGCATCTTCTTCTGGAAGGGCTGGAGAAAGCTTTTTCTTGTTTTGGATTCTGTCATCTATTTCCTGAATGACCTGTTCAGCCATATTTTTTGGAAGGGGCTTTCCATGCCAGCTTTCTTTATCTTCAACACCTGTGTATTTAAAGTCACATTAAAAGTAAGAAAAGTATAAAAACAATTTAGGTTTTTAGCTGCAGGTTTTACCCAGATAAAAGTGCAGTGGAGTATGACAGTCCATTATTTTCTTCCAAGGAAGAAATTCCTTGAAAAATTACAGTAGTATTCAACTGCATTAAGACAGACATAATTAAACAAATAGGAGGAATTTTACATAATCAAATTACATATATTCCAAACTTGTGACACAACCCAGCATCTTCTACTGAAATTATTTGTAAATTTGCACCTAACAGACCTAAGTGTGGAAGGAAGCAACCAGTAAATCAATGTGAATGTTTCCCCTGAAATTTCAACAGTTCTACTTAAACAAACTCAGATAAGTTTGAAACAAGAGTTAACCAAGGTGTCCAATTCAAACAAGATCTGATATTTTACAGCTTTATTTTAATAGCTTCTGTTGACTCTTATCTGTGCTCCTGGCACTAACAGCCAAATCACCCCTCTGGCTGATACACTGCTTTTCCCTCAGTCACTGCAAATAATGAACTTTGCTTGCTTACTCAATGAAAAGGAATGAAGACATTCACTGCTGTTATTAATATTTATCTGGTCAGAAAGGCAAGCTCAGAATGCTGCTAAAAGCTGTGGCTAAAGGGAATCAAGGCAACTCTTGACACTCTGAGTTGAGTGTGCATTTGCTCCATCCCATGGATAGAACACTCCATAGCTGGCACACGTCTAACTTGAGAGGACCAAACCAATTTTCTCTGCAATAATGTTGATGAGAGGTGCAGAAGGTGAAAGACTTTCTGCATGCTGTTGCTCAGATGTGCAGGTACCTGTACTGCAGCACTAGGTATACATTATATCTACATGTGTATGCAAAGCCAGAATTGTTTTATTACCTGATATGCCTTTGCCTTTAAAAGTCTTTGCAATGATGGCTGTTGGCTGATGTTTGGCCTGGCCAAAGGCTTTGCAAAGCTCCTCCACACTGTGTCCATCCACGATGATGGCATGCCAGCTAAGAACACAAACAGATCAGCTGTTTCTAAAGGGTTTTAGCATGTGACATTCTCTGGTAGTCAGCAATAACAATAACAAATACTAACTTCATTCCAGTGCAGTGTCTTTTTAAGAGACACAAAGTGTGCCAGAAACACGAACTAGCATTTATTTGAAACCATAAAAAATAGCACAGCTGCTTTTTTATAATGCAAAATGAGTCACAGGGAGATCAACAACTATGAGCAAAATTCACAGCCCACAGATAACTAAGTTATCCTACATTTCTTCAGATATAATGGCCATTTTTAATCACAAGAGCAAATCAAACATCTAGAAATAAGATGAAAACCGACAAGAGACGTTGATTAAAAAAAGCCACAACACTCCGGCGTAATTTGGTTTCTATTGTATCTGACAATTTTTTAGCATGGACTTTGCATCTGCATAGAGACATGAAACTAAATGAAAGCCAATACACAAAGAATTCTCTTACTTTCCATGCTGGTTTTTTTCTGATCTACTTGCTATAATAGGACACATGGTCACAGTTATAAAATCTGAATTTGATTTGTTAAAAACAGTTTTAAGACCCCTAACAGATTTATCTGTGCAAGCAGTCCTTATTTTTCCTCAAAACCAACAAAGGTTGCCACTTTCAATATTCCTGCTGCAGCCATAAAATTGACCAATATCAGGTGTTATGAAAGACCATCTTCCTTGCTGATGGAATCCTTTAGAGCTGAAAGCTCATTTGAACAATTCTGAGAAGCAAATAGAACATTTTCAAATGAGAGATTATCCTGAGCTTCTCCCACTCACATACCCAAAGGCCTCGCAGCGTTTCTGGTAGATTTCAACGTGATGCTGCAGAGGAGCAGGGTCACTTTGTCCAAGACGATTAATATCAAATATAGCAACAAGATTATCAAGCTTGTAAAAGCCAGCAAAGGCCATTGCCTCCCAAACAGAGCCTTCAGATAACTCTCCATCTCCAAGCAGACAGTACACTCGGTAGCTAGAAGAAATTAAAAATGAAAATAAATTAGGTTTGATGTGTAAGTACTATTAAATCAAAACTCCTCTAATAATTCATAGTAAGAATTCACTTTATTTTTCTATCCCCAACTCAATTCCCATTGTTCAATGCATTCACCTCTGCTAAAGTTACATAATCTTAGACAAATCAAATTAAAATAGTTATAAGTTGTTACACGTTAGAAAAATAAGATGAGAAATACTGTACTCCTTTGCAAACCTTGGCCTCAAAAAAATCAAGTCTTAAACCTCCCACTGCAAGGCTTGACTGAACAAGCCCATTGAACACTGTCACTGTGACTCAGCAAGATCCTGAACAATGCAGGGGCAGTTACCTCTGCTTCCTCCTTCCTCCCATATACCCTCTGGAAGGACAACCAGCAGGAATTAATTTCAGGAAACTCTACATTGTGCATGAGCTCACCTATGGATTAGAGCATACTGCACAATAAATTCAGAGTTCAGGAAAAAGATAACCAACATTATATATAGAATTTGTAGACTATTTCTTCAACCACTGAAGCCCTTTATTTAGGAAAAACTCAGCAGGAGTACTGCCTCATCTCTACCAAATTCAGCCACAGCATTTGTCTTTTACTACCACTCTTCTTCAGAATGATAAAACTTGGTAAATGTTTATTACCCATTAAAATTAAAAAAAAAAAAAAAAGAATAGTAAATTATTCTTCTAAAATATATTTTTAAAACAAAATAATCAAGATGGCTGTCAGTGATTTTTTTTTACTCAACATGAAGCTATAACAGACTTATATCAACTATAACTGATTCCTACCTGCCTTCAGCTAAATGTGAACTCCTTGCACTTAAGCTGCTCCCCAGTGCTGCACGCAAGACCACCTTTTCCTTTTGCCATGTAAGCACTAGTTAGATTTTTTCCACACGTAGCATCTGCTAAACTCAATTAAAATCAGCAAGTCATCTTTCAGAGAAATGATTTCAAGCTACTGAAGTGTAGGACACATTAACTGGGCAGCCTATGCTTGGATGTACTAGAACTGTCAAATAAAATATATCAACCACATCGGGCTATTTTTCTCCTCATACAGATTTGCCTTTAGATATCTTCTTTTCTTGTGCACAAAACAAATGGCAGGAGCAGTCATTTTTGTCTCTGTGGAGTCGAGTGCCTTTCTGATAACATTTTGGAGCCCTACTTTATGAGTCAATTATGCTATTATTGACCATAACGGTTCCTTATCCAGCGTCCTCCATTATTTGTCATCTGACTTTGAACAGACATCTCCAGCTTCCACTTTCCTTCTAAAGGGACACATCCAGTCTCAAAATGGATATCAGTTACTCTCTGGAAGTTAGAGGCTCCTCCAACAACTCCCTGTCTTCTCTGTTCAGGAACATCAGCTTGCAACACTGTCAGGTTACAAAAGAAACACACATATGCACTAATTGTTGCTAATCTTTAAACCCATGGTAGTTTCACTGGCAACAGCTTTGTAATTATCTATCATTTAAAACCTGAATTTGAAATCTGATTTGGGATTGAATAAAGGAGAATGAATCTATCTCTCTATCTATCTATGTAATTTAACAAAATTTTCCCATTGAATACCTATAGTCATGAAGTATGAAAATGGAGTTACCTGGCTCTGTCAAAGAATTTGCCAGTGTATGCCATTCCACAAGCAGCACCAAGTCCCTGCCCAAGGGATCCAGTAGCCACATCAGTGAAGGCTTGTCTCTGAGAATAAAAAGGCAACAATTATTTTACAGTTATGAAATAGAAGATGTAATTTCCAATGCTAGAAGATGATTTAACATACATCACAATGCACCTTCTCAGCCATAACAATGTGCAAGTCCCTCTAAATCTTGCTGTGAACCCCTGATTTCTCTGCAATGCAAGTTTCCTTTCCTGATGACTGTCACAAGCTAACTGGGCACTCTGAGAGGGAATGGAATTTCTCAGCTATGCTTTAGATGGCAACAGTTAAGAATTGATGATTTTGTGTGAAAAAAGAATCAATTGAAACAACTGGCTGGGAATAGAAAGATCAGTGAGGTGGCCAAACTGGGTGTAAACTCTTGAAATACCTCAAAGCTGCTTAAAGGGCAAGTGAAGCCTGGATGCAACTTTACCTAAACATTTATGAAATGGAAAATACTGCCATGCAGGGCTGCAGGGGAACTTTACTACAACAATAAAGGTCATTTCTACATGCTCATTCAAAAACAGTTCAAATTCAAATTCAGTTGTGAAGCCATAAATGCCATCATCCTTCTTAGAAGTCTCTATCTTTCCTGTACTGCTGGCAACCAAAATTGCTGTGAAATACGTACACTTCTTGTTTCACAGAAAACATACTTCTGTATCAAAGATTATGAGCACTCACTGGCACTGGGTGTCCTTCCAGGACTGAATCAATTTTCCTCAAGTTCAGTAATTCTGCTTCTTGTAGAAAGCCAGCCTCTGCCCAAACAGAATATAAAATTGGTGCTGCGTGACCCTAGAGAGAAACAGAAATTGTAAACAAAAGACAAGTTTCACAATTCCCGACTAACAGGACAAAATTCTACAAAGCTGACAAACCCTGAAATCAGGTTCTTGTGCCCATTAGGAAGGCATGGAGTTACTAAACAGTTTTACAGTGCACACATCCACACTGATGCTTGTTCCCCACATCGCTGCTTACAGCACCCCAGCAGGATGAGCAGTGTTATCTCACTAGAACTTTCTTCAATATGAATGTACTCGGGGTTGAGTGCAGTGAGTGACAACAGGCAAAGTTTTAAGCTTTGTACACTCAGACCTTTGTAGAGCAGTCATTTTCCACTCCTGGAGTCATCAGGAGTCAAAAGAGCACAAAGAGGTTTGAAGCCATTTAGCAGCTCTGGACAGAAACACTGATTAATTAGAGAGCTAAAGTAAACATGAGGAAGTGACTCTCAGTGCTTCACCACCTCAGCATCAACCACTTGCTTCTCACTCAGTTCCTTCTTTCAGAGTGGCCACCAGAAATGGCAAGCTACATCCAGCACAAGGACATTCACCATGGGCTCCACAGCACTACTGCAAGCCACCACTTGAGGAATTCTGACTCAGAGATGGAATGCGCATCACTGGAGCACTTCATCTGCCATGTTTTACATCATTTGCCATGTTTTACGTTTTCTGAAGGCCCCTCACCTGCCTTTATGTCATATGAACAATATATCCCCACGATTTGCAAGGGCACAATGTAAAAGGGGACAGAAACACTAACAGCCAGCACAGATTGGGGTTTAAGTGTTTTCTGACCCACAGTGGCTTCAGATGTAAGAGTGACTTTAGTACCATACTGGCACAGTAGGAATGCAAACTACAAACTATTCACTAACCTGGCCTGTTTCATGTAATGCTCCCTGAGAAGCTGGCAGGAATTAGTGCCCACTGTGACATGGCTGCAGGCAGAACAGCGGGGCTGCATTTAACAAGAGAGCACAAAAGCCAACTGCAACTGCCTCGTTAGAAAAATAAAGCAGACTTTACTGCATCCTGATAGATTGTATAGACCATATAATATTTATTGTTTAACATTACAACAATGTAACACAGTGGAGTTAAGACTTATCAGGACACATTACAAAGACCTTTTTTAAACTGTTTTTAAGTTATGTTGCAACTTAATTTAGCCAGCTTCTTTCTGTAGTAGACAAATTCCAGGCTCTAAAATATTTCCAAAAGACTTCTCTGCAGGTGTCAGTGTATGTAAACACAAGTCAAAGAAGACAAGTCAATTAAATCTACAGACAGACAGCTCTTTGCTAGCAGATTGTAACAGGACAGAAAACCAGTAATTATTTATTTACCTTTGAAAGAACAAACCGGTCGTTGCTGGCGTTTCTGGGGTCTTGCACTTTGTACCTCATGGTATGGAAAAACAGCACAGACATAATCTCTGCTGCACTGCAACATGATGTAGGGTGGCTACAAGTCAAGAAGACCCAAGATTACCACTTGTGTTACTGTTTGCTCAGGACCGCATCTTTAAAGTATCAATTCATCAGACCCCAACACCTCAGCATTAAAATACACAAATCTGAAGTGTGTGATAACCCACCCCTGTGCTGTTCCACCAGTGCTAATCAAATACTTTGAGACAAAGTTTTACAGTGATCTGGTTGAAATGGGTGTTCAATCAAGGCCCTGCTGACAGCTCAAGGACTTGTTTTTTAGAGCTCTCCCTTCTTCTCCATGCCAAGGACCACCACCTGAAGGGCTGGCTGAAGCACAGGACAGTCAGATACAGGCTGTGTCTGACTCCACTGATTTATCTGGTGGCAGAAATTCACACCAGTGCAGAGGAAACAAGGACAGCTTTCCACAGAACTGGAGCCACTCTCTGAGTGGAGAAATTAAAAGCATGGCATCAGGATTTGTTCAGGCTCTGATGCACATGCAGAGATTGGTAATGCAAGATTAGCTTCTGCAGAGAGTTCTGGAACTTTTACAGTAGTATACTTTAGGAACCATTTCATTGTACCACATTAGAGCTGACAGATAAGAATTCTGATTTCTAAAGAGGACATTAAATAATGCAATTCTTGTTTTCATCTTCTACTGAAACTGGATATAGAAATTTACTGTCTCCAGTAAACACCCAGATACATGTTGTAAAATACTAAATTGCTTAATCTTTGGCTAAGAGGGGAACTAGCATTTTCTACATTTACATCTTTATAAGTTTGAAATATTGTGTGAGTTGGTTTATCAAACATTTTGAGGTATCTGGTATAGTCCCTCACATTGAATTGTGTAGGATAACAGCAGCATGAATTCGTACTTCAGCTATAACTTGCCTTAGGAATACACAGGCCCATTTCACAGGTAACTGTGCCATAAAGTACCAACAAGTGAATGTAAAGTTATATGAAGAGGCTATGCAAGTAGCAAATATGGAGTTATTCCATGACAAGGTATATATTTAATTCGAAGCAGTAGAAGGGCACAGAATTATTTTATTTATCTACTTTACTGTAATTTTCATAATAATCACTGCAGTTCTTATGCACCTGGAATGAGTGGCACCACTTGACCACTTTGAAGTACCAGCCTTGGCTTGTCACTTGCTATAAAGCTTAAAAGGGGTAAGGAGGCTCTTTAAAAATCTTTATTGAGTATGGAAAATAGCATTTTTCAGATTTTACTGATGTAAACATGATTTTTGACATCAGCCATTGCTACTGAAGTACAGGAAAGTGGATGATGAATAGTAAGGAGGTTGAAAAAGCAGTTTCTTCTCACTTTGTTTTCTAACAACATTTACTTTTCATTTTTAGCAGGCTATTCTTCAAATATTCATCCTTCTTGTAAAACGGGACAAACTGACTATGAAAGTGCCACTTTTGTTTCCTACATGTACATTTACCATGCATGTTAGGATTAGACAACACTTTCACTAGAACTTTAATCAGGATATTTTATTTTGATAGTAATAAAACTTCCCACCCAACATCCCCAACATAACTGTAATAAGAGAACAAAAACATGCAAAACACTAGCAAAATACAAATTATGGTTAGTGTCCATCCCTTAGTAAGTACTCACACACAGGGAACCAAGAGAATTAGCTTTAAACCATGGTTCAAACATATTAGTAAATATTTATATATTTGAGTTAATCAATAAGCCTTACATGCTTGTTTAAAGCTTTCATTCCTTTATATTAACTTTATACTTAACCATACTTCTATGAACTCCTGGTCTCGATTAAAAAAGTTTTAAACCACCTAAAATGGTAGCATGTGGAAATAAAAAAAAAAAAAAAGTAGAAAAATTTAATAAATTACCTGAAAATTGGAGAAAAATCTTGTTAAAGCTACAGGTTAATTAAATGAACTTCTACTATCAGAAACAAACAAAAAAACCCCATAACTTTGAAATACAGTCCTTCGGTAGGAAGTCAAACCAAAGTACACTAGAACACCAAAACCCTGGATCCACACAAAACAAGGGTAAGATAATTGCTCCAAGTTAGTTTTGTGGGTGTTTTTTATTACTATGCATCAATTGATATTTGTTCCATCTATGTGTGTCCACACATTTCAAAGGATAGTGGTGGAAAGCTAAAATGGAACACTGAGTCAAAACCAAAAAAACTGATGAAAAAAAAATCATCTGCAACAAGTGATCACATCACATATTATGAAACTTAACTGCCTCTTAAGAAACTCTTGCAACTTCCACTTTTAAGAATGTATCCATCCTGCTATAGGACGCCAAGACACTGTTTCAAAACTGCAGAAATATATCATAACCTACAGCAGAGACTCTACCCATTTCAATGGGAATATGTGCACTACTTATTTAAAAGAAAAAGCTCTTCCATGCCCCAAAGCAAGTATATTCAATCTTTACAAATAACCTAATCAAATATTTTGCCCACGTAAGTAATTCTGAGCACAAAAATATTTTTCCACTCCAGCTGATGAAATACACAAAGTGATGTGTTTGAGCAACTTCAGGATCAGACTGAGTTAGGTCTTGTCCAGGCACTGTACTTTCTTTAACAGAAGGTAAAAGAAGTAAAGACTGCAAGAACTGGTGTGACATATCTACCACACCACCACTTGTGTTGCAATACACGCCACAGTTCACAGAAATTACTTCCTTGAAAGTAGTAGGAAGGTTCTGTTTTTTCTGAAGTGCTTTTATGGCAAGTGTTTCCTTCATTTTTACAAGCTACACCTTTAACAAACACGTATTTCCTTAACAAAGTCAAAGCCATCATGACAATTCAGATTTTTAATTAAGTGCAAGCTTCTGTTTAAACTTAACTTGCATTCAAACATCTTTTCCCATCCTCAGTGCACACCAGCAATTTAAGCCAAGCACACTGTCTCAGTTTTTGGAAAACATTCATAATGCACAGCTGCTTTGGAAATGCACATGCTTTGCCTAACTCCACAACAGACTGAATGTCTTTTGGGCACATTACTACACCATCATCTTGGCAACCAAATCTGATTAAGAAAATATATTACTTATCAACAGAATCTTCTCTCAAGAGCCCATCTTTCATAATCTGCATGTTATCAGGTTGTGTAATAATTTCAGACTACACAACTCCAGTGGCAGAATAAACCAGAGGGATTAATGAAATGCCTTTGTGCTAGAAGGACTTAGTATTGTAGCACAGATGAACCAGGGAATAAAAAGTTTAAGTAAAAATAGTTTTAGTTTCTCATCATCTCATGGTGAGAATGGTTTTACTGGTGAATTTCATGGACTGCAGAAGAGAAGCAGAGGCTGTAGTATGATCCTTACTCATTAACATCACATCAGACAAAACAGAGAAATAATTTTATCTGTTGATGGGACAACTGATACCATACATCCCTGTGGCCTGCTTAAAATACTTACTGGAAGCTGAACACAGAAGCCCAAGCTCTACAAAGCACAGGTTTTCAATTTACACTTTCACACAGACTTGTGTAATACTGTACACTGCAGCTCTGAAACAAATCACGAACTAAAAGGGCAGTTGTTGGGTGTCCCACACTTGTCTCTCCAGACTGGACCCAACAAGACAGATTTGAAAAAAGCACTGCCCTGGCTTGCTGAGAGGTTTCCCGCGTCCAACACCCCATTTCCCAGGAAGAACCACAGCAGCACTTTCATTTGCTAAGGAATGAGTAAAGTTCAGCTCATGGCAGGCACAGGATGGGGACTGTAAAGCAATTGAAAGAAGCTTTATAATATTTAGCACATCACCTTTCTTCACATAAACCTCAGCATCCAAAGGATTCCTTCAGTTTTATTTTTAAACACTGCAGCTAGTTTCAAAGAGGTCCAAAGGAAGAAATTGCAACAAGACGGGATATATGTAAAAAACCCCAACCCATCACTTTACATGGAAGCATTCTTATATTTTCCAAGCAGAAAAAAATGGCTTTAATTTTACATAACTAAAAGCGGATTATTTGCAGAGATTTTTTTTTTTTCCCTCCATAGGTAAAGCACGATCAAAGAAAGGATAACCCTGGAATCTGCACACATCAGAGCCCACACTAAATCCTGTCCAGAGGCCTGAATAAACTGCCCATTGGAGACCGCGGGCATTGCACAGATAATCCCACTTGGGCTCACTTGAAATTCTGTGCAGAATTAGTTCCAACTGACGGGCACGCAATGAAAAAGAAGCCGCTTGCGCCTCGGGCACAAATTCTTTGGTTTCCAGTCCTGCCCCAACTTAGCATTCCCGGCCTCTCTCCCAGCCACAACAGCCGCCGGCAGCGGCGACCGGCGCGGCCGGGGCGGGCTGAGCCGCGGAGCCCCCGGCCGCCATTTCCACACGTGCCACCTCCGCATCCACCAGCGCCGGGGCTCCGGGGGCATCGCCCTGCCCGCTCCCCATCCCCGCGGCACGGGGGCTCTGCCCCCGGGGCACCCGAGCGTCTCCGGGCAGCGGGAGCCCGGCACGGCCCCTCCCAGCGCCAGCCCGAGGCCGGATGCAGCCCCGGGATGCGGGAGCGCGGCTCCGGTGTGCGGCCGGGGCTGGGTCGCTGCACTCCCGCCTCCCTCACTCACCCGGAGCCGGCCGCGGTCGTGGCCTTGATGGAGCTGATGCGGAGCCGGTTGGCCGCGTCCTTCAGCGCCTGCAGCGTCTGCTGGTCGGGTTTGTGGTAATCCTCCATGTGGGCCACGCGGGAGGGCGGCGGCGGCGGGTGTCGGGCGGCGGCTGCACCTCGTCTGAGGACGGGCTTTGCGATGCGGCGGCGCGGCTCACCGGGGCCGAGCGCTGGGGCGGAGAGAGGAGCGCGGAGGAGGGGAGAGGAGCGAGGGGGCGGAGAGAGGAGCGGCCGGCTGCCTCCATCCTCCTCCCTCCCTCCCTCCCTCCTGCCGCCGCCCGCGGCCGGGGCGGGCCGGGCCCGCTCTGCGCCCTGCGCGGCCCCGGCCCCGCCCACGGGCGCCATTTCCGCGGCGCGCGGTGAGGCAGCGCTGAGGGCGCGGCAGCCGCGCTCCCCGCTCGGGAATCACGGCAGCGGCGGGGCTGGAAGGGAACTCTGGACATCACCGGTGCGACCCCCTGCCAAGGCACGGGCACCCGGGGCAGGTGACACAGGAGCGGGTCCCGGTGGGTTTGGAATGTCTGCAGGAAGGGGGACTCCAGCCTTCCCTGGGCAGCTGCTCCAGTGCTCTGCCCCCCTCAACCTAAAGTATTCTCATATTGAGCCGGAATTTCGTGCGGTTTAGTTTTGGCCATTGCTCCTGTCCTGTTGCTGGGCACCACTGAAAGGAGTTTGGCACCATCCTCTCGGCCCCTGTCTTTGAGAGGTTTATATGCATTAATGAGGTCCCCTCAGTCTTCCCAGAATAAACAGGCCCAGCTCCCGCAGTCTCTCCTCATAAGAGATGTTCCAGATCCCTCATCTACAGTGGAGGCCTCCACTGCACCGCTCCAGCAGTGCCTTGTCTGTCTGGTGCTGAGGAGCCAGAACTGGACAGAGAACTCCAGATGTGCCTCACCTGGGCCGAGTAGAGGGGCAGCATCACCTCCCTCAACGTGTTTGATTCTACCGCTGCTCCATAAAGCTGTTGGTCTCCACCCCAGTCTGTTCCTGTGTCTAAAAGGATGTTACAGTATCCCACAGCTTAACAGTAGCCTGCTTCTTCCACACAGGTGAAACAGTAGCAGATTTGCCCCGTGTGGCTTCCTGTCAGGATATAATTCATATTTCCATAACATGTTGTAAAATTTGATGAACACAGAGACTTTTACATAAAATACTGACTTCACCAGCCATCAATCAGGCAATACATTTTCTCTAGCAATTCTGAACACTATGACATTAATGCTAGACTTAAATAGGCAAGGAAAATACTTATATTTGTTCTAGAAAGCTCAAACAGCACTAGAAGTCACAATCTAGAAGCAACCAAAAAAAGGCTAATCAGACAACAATGACAAAACAATAGTAGTGCTAGGTTGAAGGTTGGAATTAACAACCTAAAAGGTATCTTCCAACCTTGATGATTCTAGCACTCAAAGATATCTCAGATCTTGCACATTCAATCTGGTATTCCTGCACTGCACTTTTGTATTTCAGTGTTCTGTCCAGTGATAGTTTGTCCTAGAAACTGCGTTGTATTGATTAAAAAATATCCTAGTTACATGTAGTGAACTAATGCTATCATCGTCATATACTTCCGGAAGACACTGAACCATTCCCATTAAAAACCTTAAACCTTCACCTTCAAGGCTCTGCAGACTTTGGGTTTCAGAAACAAAGGAAACCACCTCCATCCACAGAGCATTCAGCCATGCTCACTTGGCAAACTGCCAGTAGGAAGTAGCATGTGAAACTCTTAGCAAGGTATGAGAAAAGGTTTTTCCATAAACTAACCAATTTATTAGAAGAAATAAAAGCAGATGCCACTCCCTTAGCTTAACTGTTTTGTTAAGTGTTTCATCAGCTGTCTTCTTGAAAATCCTTTTAATAAAGATCTTCGGAAGAAAAACTAGACAGGAAATAGGCCAGGAAGGATAAAACAGAGCCAAACAACCAGACTTGACAGCAGCAAAGTGCAGAGGTTGTTCTGGAGAGCACACTATACAAAGGTTAACTTCTGCAACTGCCTCTTGCTCTGCTCCAGTCTATATTCGACCTTCAAATAATAGGGTAGGGTAGGCCTACTACCTGTGGTGGGGGTTTTTAGTGTGGTTTTTTTCTTTTGTTTTGGTTTGGGGTTTTTCTTGTTTCTTTGTTTTTTTTTTTTTTTTCTTTTCTTGCTGCAGAACCACTTACCAAAATCTTATAATTTCAGTAATACACTTTGAAATTATACGAACAATAAAATCAGGATATTGTAGAGCCTGATGAAAATCACACAAGCCTTTGTTTAAATTTAGGAACTCTGAAGACATGGGTTGTAATGCCAAGAGCTTTCAGTGGCAGAGCAGAGGGCCAAGAAATGGGGGTATTAATGCACTTTAATTGTGCAGGTTTCCTCTCAGGGTACAGAAAGACACCTTGTAGACCTTGTAAGCCACTATGTTTAAACAGCAGCTTGGAAATTAAGTAACAGATGATAGCTAGAAAGTAGCTACTTGTGTAGGAAGTCATACCAAAGAGATCCTAGCTGAGGAAACAGAAACAGGGCTGCCAGACACAATTGGGGACAATCAACAGCCATTCTTAACAGCAGTTTCCCCACAATATTCCTGTTAAAATCCACTTTGGTACAACAAGACAGGGACTCCTTTTGTCCTCCTGGAGCTCTGATGCCCAAAGGAATATTGTCAGTAGGGGAATATGAAAGATCTCAAGAGTTACAAGTAACATCTATGAGAAATGCTGATTTTTTTTTCTATTTTGCAGATTTTAAACTATAAAATCTACCCTAACTATTGGTGAGGTAACAGTAAATTCAAATCTAAGTTCCCTGTATAAGATTCTTAACCAAACCTTACATATGCTACACACCAGCAAAGATCTTGCTCAGGATCTTCTTGTGCCATTGCCTCAAATAGGCCTAAAATCAAATTAACGTTGTAGAATGAGGGCGACCAACTTCTCTGAGCATGTTGCACAACTTTTCCTCTTCTCCTCTGTCCATTCCTGCATCCTTTCAACAACCTGTCAGCCTTCTCAAGGCAACAGCACACTTGATTGTGTCTGCAGTCATATGGTCAGAAGGTAAGACTAAGGCAGCTTGAGCCACCATTTCGGATCAAGTTTCCTGCTTGTTCCTTGCTCATTGTGCTCTACCTTTCTCTGCTGAGCAGTCCCAGAGCTTGTGAACTGTATTCATTTCAAATGAAGTTTCAGTCTGAGGAAGCAGCTAATTCATCCCATCTGTTAATGAGTATTCAGTTCAACAGGACAGACAAGAGCCAGTCTGGAGCAGAATTCAAAGTCCCTTATAGTGCAGATGGGGAGTCCTCAGCACTTTGTCATGTGCTCTACAGACCTGCTCTACTGGAATCTCCTACCTGCTGCTGTTGTCAAAGGCACAGAACCATTTTAGCAGCACAGCAGCATTCATTAGCTTGAGCTCTGTACCATGCTCATGGATTTGAGAGCAGTTGTTAAAATACTGGCTGCGCTGAGGAAGGGAATGACACTTTTTCTATCACCCCTGCCATTTAAACACTGTTCTTTAGACAGATGTTGGCATTTGGCTTGACCCTCATCTCACTGACACAGAGTTATCCATGCCAGCTGAGTGAGGTTAAGCAGGATCATTTGATCTTCTCTAATCTATGGTTTAGAAGAGGTGCGTAAAGTAAATTCTTCAAATGAGGCCAAGTGTAAGTGAAATCACGTTTATGATGCCAAACTCCACAATGTTTTGTATTGACCAAAGATACATTAAGAAAACATGGCTGTGTGCCCAATTTCAGCTCCATAAAACAAATTTCAACAAACTCTATAAATACATTTGCACCAGGAAGCTAAAAGCGTATTTTAGAGATATGGCTACTTCATCTTTCTGGATGGCTGGTAGTATTTACAAACAAAGGAGAAAAATATCAAAATAGAAGCAGATACCATGAAAACAATGAAGTAATTTCTACATTAAGTTTTTGCTTCCAACAGGTTAATTTACTCCCTATTTTCTGTCTACACAGTGTGATTAAGAGGTGAGCATTGCTAGGCTGTTACTGTTCTTCTCTGCATAAATCATTGATAGTTGCAAAGTGAAATGACAGTCAACTAAAATGGAGTCCAGTGACTCCCCATTCCTTTGCCAATGTCCTTTGTTTTCTCTCACAATTCTTTTAAATATAAACTGGCCAGATCATAGCCTTGCTCTTGCCTTTGTGGGCCCAGGCTGATTCCATTCTTTGGCTGAAGAGTAAGGCCTGTGGTCAAGTCCCTGTGATCACAGTGGTGATGTGCTCTTGAATTGCCTTGTATGGCTCCCTCACAAACTGTCCCAAGTGTTCTGGCAACAGCAACCTTAGCAAGCACCTTCTCTGGCTGGACATGCGGTGCTGTCTTGTTCCCCTCCTGTAAGAAAATAAGGGGGATGATTGGATCAGTCCAGTATTACTACAGCTCACAACTTCTTTTGTTTCTTCTATTGTTATCTGAATGGTAAAAAGAATTTAAGATAGACTAAGCTTAGACAATGTCATTGGGAGATCACTGCCCACAACTCCCCTTCAGTTCCCTGAATCCTTGTGCTGCATCACCGAGTGCCTATTGTGGTATTGTGTTTTTAAAACAGCAGCTCAAGCATTCACAGGATGAAATTCCACCTTCTGTCAGTGCCTCCACTTTGATCTACTGAAGAAGCACGTTACTTCTGCAACTCTGACCAAGTGTGATGGACTGTAAAGCAATAGCTGAAGTCATGGTATACATTGCATACAACGGTCAACATTGCTTCCACATTCCTTGGACTTGCCTCTGAAACCACATACAATGTGATTAAACCAAGGATGCAAATGTATGGACAAACAGCCTTGCTTCAGAACATACAATCACATCTCGTTAGCTTCATATTAACTACTAGACTAGACAGCTTATTAAATACATACACAGGATAACTGGCTTTTTCCATCCCTTCGTCTATGTTTTGGTGTCAGGGCATTATGTGCAGCAGAAGCATGAAAGCTCAGCTATGACTGACATTTGCTGAGATACTGCAAAAATGCATTGCTGACATAAGTACATGCAACTCTCTTTACCAGAGCAGAAGCTGCATGCACTCAGCACTGCTAGAATTCAGGCCAGTTAGCTACCATGGGGCTTCGTGCCCAATTTTGCCTTAAAATCTGTTCTGAAAAGATTGCCAAATCCAAGTGTAGTAAGAGCTCGTCACTACAGAATCCAAACAGTGGTGAGTAAAGAAAATGCATGGAGGCGTGGGAGGAGGCCAGCAGGCTGTGCAATTGCAGTTTGAGCATTCTATGTATTCCAAACTAAACTGGAATT